ATAACTATCAATGTGCTCATTGACATAAATGTATTTAACGCTTTTTTTTTTTTGAATCCTACTAAGATCTTAACCCTTATCTCTTGTGGAAGAGGAGTTTCAGAGATTAAAAATAATACTTTTCATGTAATACATAAATAATCAGTTTCATAAGCTGCCTTTCAATTTAATTATAGGTGTTCTCTTGTTCTTGTATTAAAGGAAAGGTTAGTAACAGCACCCAATTTATTTCTACTTTACCACTGATTTCATGTTTCTCATTTCTCCCCTTCCTTGTCTTCTCTTTAAACAATCTTACACTTTCACATGGCAGTCTTTACATGCCTCTGATCATTAGTTGACCACCTTTGTGCCCTTTTACATCTGCTATATCTTCTTTTGGAATATATGGTGATCAGAACTGAACATATTAATCAAGGGGATACTTATACTATGATATTTTAATAATATGTAACATTTTCAGCAATATTTTCTGTCCTATTCTGGTAACATTTTGTTTTCAATGTTGCTTGCCATTGCACACTGAACAGGTGTTTTGAATAAGGTGTTTCCTTCATTTTCAGATTTTGCATCCACCATACTGTAAGTCTCACATTCATGACTCTTGACTGATTGCAAAATTTGGCTATGATTTAACAAAAATATTTCCTCTTTCACCTACCTACTGCAGGGAGGAAAAAAACAGAGATTCCAAGGCCAGAAGGGATGACTGTGATCATGTAGTCTGACCTCCTGTATAACCCTGACCCAGGTAGTAACTAGATCTATGTTCTGTGAGGGTTCATTGAAGACATAACTGATGCTTTCCAATGATATATATTATGGGTGAAATTCTAGCAAAAATTCCATTGACTTCAATGGGGCCAAGATTTTATCCTATGCATATAATAGTCTGACCAAATACTCTGGCTTCTGTGAACTGTGTAGCATGCCATGGATCTGATTTTCAAAGGTGATGAACATAAGCAACTCCAGGAAAAGTCAGTGGGGCCTGGAGTATTCAAATGCCCCTTAGTCTGACTTTGAAATAGGCCAAATTAAGCCATGGGTGGTTTGAAGGAGCTTTGTTTTGTAAGTGATTCACTGCTAGCTGATGAAATGGAGTTAGTTTATTTCTACTTGAATCTTCGGGGTGTTTTATGATGTTAGATTAATTGTCAGGACACCTACAGCTCTTGTATAGGCATTTCCTTTATTATTACTTACATAGAAAAAAACAAACAAATATCCAAAGATCAGATCTGAAGTATTTATGGAGGGCTGATCACTTGAAGGCAAACATTCGGGACATGTCAAATGCTGCTAGATCCATATAATGGATTCCCACAGCATTCACAGCCTTACAAGAGCAGAAGCAGAAAGTAACAGTTCAAATATCTTAGGCACAATATGCTACATCAGACTTGCCTTTTTTAAAAAACAATACATTTTTAATTCTAACTCACTTCTGCCAAGAGCAGACCAATGGACTGATGCAATGAAGAACATCCCCCTTTGTTCTTTTCTTGTCATGTATCTGGGGGATGATAATTCAAGACCATTTCTCTTTGCTAGGTTTTAATTCTGTGTAAAATAGTTTGAGACTATTTAAGTCCTGGTGCCTTTTGTCATTACACATCACTAGGGCCCTACCAAATTCACTGCCCTGAAAAATGCATCACGGACCATGAAATCTGGTCTCCCCCTGTGAAATCTGGTCTTTTGTGTGCTTTTACCCTACACTATACAGATTTCATGGGGGAGACCAGTGTTTCTCAAATTGGGAATCCTGAGCCAAAAGGGAGTTGCAAGGGGGTTGGAAGGTTATTTTAGGAGGGTACAGTATTGCCACCCTTACTTCTGCGCTGCCTTCAGAGTTGGGCGGCCGCAGAGGAGCACCTGTTGGCTGGCCGCCCAGCTCTGAAGGTGGTGCCCTACCAACAGCAGCACAGAAGTAAGGGTGGCAATCCCATATCATGCCACCCCTATTTCTGCGCTGCTGCTGGCGGTGTCTCTGCCTTCAGAGCTGGGCGTCCAACCAGCAGCCGCTGCTCTCCGGCTGCCCAGCTCTGAAGGGAGCACCGCTGCCAGCAGCAGCACAGAAGTAATGGTAGCAGTACTGAAACCCTCTTATAATAACCTTGAAACTCCCCCCGCAAACCCCTTACTGGGTCAGGACCACTACAAGTACAACACAGTTAAATTTCATATTTAAATAGCTGAAATCATGAAATTTGCAATTTTTAAAATCCTAAGATCGTGAAATTGACCAAAATAGACTGTGAATTTGATAGGGCCCTACACATCACCTAACTTTCATGTTGTTTTTGAATGACATCAGAATCAGTGTGTGGAGTAATAGCTTGCTCTCCTATTATTCTAAGTATTACCTACATATATTATGTAGAATGATTGCCCTTAAAAATGTACATATCTTGCCTTTCATAAACTTTGCCAGAGAAAACATTACCTCATAATTTGCAGTATCCCCTACAGAGTACCCAGCGATTAGGAGGGAATGCTATTTAGTTTTCTGAAGCAGTATTAAGGCAATTGGCAGTTTCAAAGAATGACCTCTGTATCTTTGTTTCAATTGACTGTTATTACATTGCTAAGCTATTACTTATTATCTGCTCTTAAAGTATTTACCCATTTAATCTGAGATACTGCTTTTTTAATAAGTGATCTTTAATCATAGAATCATAGAATATCAGGGTTAGAAGGGACCTCAGGAGGTCATCTAGTCCAACCCCCTGCTCAAAGCAGGACCAATCCCCAACTAAATCATCCCAGCCAGGGCTTTGTCAAGCCTGACCTTAAAAATATCTAAGGAAGGAGATTCCACCACCTCCCTAGGTAACGCATTCCAGTGTTTCACCACCCTCCTAGTGAAAAAGTTTTTCCTAATATCCAACCTAAACCTCCCCCACTGCAACTTGAGACCATTACTCCTTGTTCTGTCATCAGCTACCACTGAGAACAGTCTAGAGCCATCCTCTTCGGAACCCCCTTTGAGGTAGTTGAAAGCAGCTATCAAATCCCACCTCATTCTTCTCTTCTGCAGACTAAACAATCCCAGTTCCCTCAGCCTCTCCTCATAAGTCATGTGTTCCAGACCCCTAATCATTTTTGTTGCCCTCCGCTGGACTCTTTACAATTTTTCCACATCCTCCTTGTAGTGTGGGGCTCAAAACTGGACACAGTACTCCAGATGAGGCCTCACCAATGTTGAATAGAGGGGAACGATCATGTCCCTGGATCTGCTGGCAATGCCCCTACGTATACAGCCCAAAATGCCATTGGCCTTCTTGGCAACAAGGGCACACTGTTGACTCATATCAGGCTTCTCATCCACTGTAACCCCTAGCTCCTTTTCTGCAGAACTGCTGCCAAGCCATTCGGTCCCTAGTCTGTAGCGGTGCATGGGATTCTTCCGTCCTAAGTGCAGGACTCTGCACTTGTCCTTGTTGAACCTCATCAGATTTCTTTTGGCCTAATCCTCCAATTTGTCTACATCCCTCTGTATCCTATCCCTACCCTCCAGAGTATCTACCTCTCCTCCCAGTTTAGTGTCATCTGCAAACTTGCAGAGGGTGCAATCCACACCATCCTCCAGATCATTTATGAAGATGTTGAACAAAACCGGCCCCAGGACCGACCCTTGGGGCACTCCACTTGATACCGGCTGCCATCTAGACATGGAGCCATTGATCACTACCCGTTGAGCCTGACAATCTAGCCAACTTTCTATCCACCTTACAGTCCATTCATCCAGCCCATACTTCTTTAACTTGCTGGCAAGAATACTGTGGGAGACCGTGTCAAAAGCTTTGCTAAAGTCAAGGAACAACATGTCCACTGCTTTCCCCTCATCCACAGAGCCAGTTATCTCGTCATAGAAGGCAATTAGACTTAATCAGGCATGACTTGCCCTTGGTGAATCCATGCTGACTGTTCCTGATCACTTTCCTCGCCTCTAAGTGCTTCAGAATTGATTCCTTGAGGACCTGCTCCATGACTTTTCCAGGGACTGAGGTGAGGCTGACTGGCCTGTAGTTCCCAGGATCCTCCTTCTTCCCTTTTTTAAAGATGGGCACTACATTAGCCTTTTTCCAGTCATCCGGGACTTCCCCGGATCGCCATGAGTTTTCAAAGATAATGGCCAATGGCTCTGCAATCACGTCCACCAACTCTTTTAGCACTCTCGGATGCAGCGCATCCGGCCCCATGGACTTGTGCTCATCCAGCTTTTCTAAATAGTCCCGAACCACTTCTTTCTCCACAGAGGGCTGGTCACCTCCTCCCCATTCTGTGCTGCCCAGTGCAGTAGTCTGGGAGCTGACCTTGTTCGTGAAGACAGAGGCAAAAAAAGCATTGAGTACATTAGCTTTTTCCACATCCTCTGTCAAAATCAACACGCACCTAGTGTCTAAATATAAATCTAATTCTTGCCTGAACTAGTTTAATATGAATACATAAACTTGAGAGCTCACAATTAGTTATAATTCCTATTTTCTCTGCCTACAAAATCCCTTTTATTTATCTTTTTATTGAGAGGATGTGTGTACCTTAAGTACTCTTTATTTGAAGGTAAATCCTGATCATTATATATAAGGCACAGTACATGACAATGGTATGGTGCTTATATTGGGTAAGTGATATGAAATGGCAAATGCAACTAGGAACATGGGGTAAAATTAAGAAAGGGGAAATGATGAGCAATAATAACTTTCTGGTTGTGAGATCTATATATTATTAGTAGGTACCCCATGAAAGTGCATGTCACTTAATAGACAGATAAGAAACAGAATCCTTGTACCAAAGAGCACACAATTTTAAGGGTCCGTGGCCCAGATCCATAAAGCATTCATATTTAGGTGCTTAACTTCCATTGATTTCAGTGGGAGATAGGAACCTAAATACCTTTGAGGGCTGGGGCTCTTGTGTCTGCACAAAGGGAGTGGGATCTGATTTCAGGATCAGGGCCTCAGTTATGGCATAACTTGAAAAATATTTTTTACCTTTTTCTTTGACAACAACTGGAGTCTTCATTGCTTGTTTTCTTGTGGCCCCTGAAAAAGTGACAATTTTGTATACATTATGGAAAGAGAAGGAATGAAGGACCAGGTACAGCAATAATTTCATTCAGTAGCTTTGGTTGATGTTTCATGTATCAAAAGCTCATAGGCTTTTAAAAATCTTTTATTCTATGTGACACTGTTCTTTAAAGGGAAACACTAGGGTTTAGAGGGTTTGTGGAAGGAGGATTTTTTCAGAGGGGTTTGAAGGAGAAGCTGGAGTGGTGGAAATATGATTAAAAGGGGATCAAGGCATAGAGTAGCGTAGGATCTCCAATCACATGTAAGGAGGCACAGAAAATAGTGGGAAAAGGAAATAAAGGGAGTATCTAAACATGCACATTACATGATGTAGTAAAGGGAACAGGTGGGAAAAGAAAAAAACCCCAAGAGTAGACTATTAGGCCTTCTTTAAGATTCTTCCCCCCCCACACACATGTTTGCCAGTAAGAATTTTAAAGGAAAAAGTCTGTTGTAAACAAGATCTTTTACTGTGGAATAATTTCAGAGGGTAAGCAGTGGAAGCTTAATTGCCTGGGACATTTAAACAGAACAAAACTCGAACTAAGATGATTTCGTGGATCTTTTCTATCGCTACCATCTAGTACTCCATGATTATTATTTCTACCCTTTAAAGTAGACTGCAGGTTATATGGCAATCACTTTAGGACCAACTAAGTATCATTTCCAGAAGCATGTGATTAATTAAGAATCTAGGGTGAGATTTTGAAAAGCCCAGAATGAGTTGGGCACCAAATTCTCCAGGTGCTTTAGAAAATCCCATCTCTAAATATGGACTCTTAGTCATTTAGAACTTCTATTTTTCTATTACATATTATTCTATTTTTACCTCTTTCTTTGACAAGAACTGAAGGCTTCACCTCTTTTTCTTTTGTAGGCTCTGAAAAAATTATCAGCAAAAATTGAAGCAGGGAGGTAATTATATTATCATGCCTTTATACAGTATCTAGAGCTGTGCAACAGTTTCACAAAAAATACCAAACTAGACAAGGGTTGATTAGCATTGGGTTTTGTTAAGAATCCAAAACTCAGTTTAGTTCAGCAAGGGGTTCAGTCTGGGATCTGAAAGGCAAACTATGCTCTTTCCTAGCAGACCATTTTACCATGAAAAGATTCTATAGGATAAACTATGCCCTTAGTACACCTGAGCTCCCCCATTGTCTTCCAGGGGCTTGCACAGGTGTCAATGAATTTAGCCAGTAACTGGAATTTAGTTAACAATTCTGCTAGTGAGTGATGCATAAGAAGCAGCAGACACCAGCTCTCTCTCCAGTAGGTGCACTAGCTCTGCAGATCAGACAAGAGTCAAAAATAGTAAAACCTTATTTTTATTTCTTAATCACATGTGACTTCAGAAACACAAAGGGCTCAGATCTAACAAATAAGAAGGTGCCGTTTTTGTAACTTTTCGCAGAAGATCTGTAATTTAAGGTTAAAAGGAATTGTGTGCACTGAGCAACAATGCACTTGTTAGTGTGAACAACTGTATATTTAATAAGGGAATAGGTCATTTTTACATGTGACTAGGAGCCATTACCCTTTTCCTTTAAGGCTTCTGGAGGCTTCACTTCTTTTCTTTTAACAGGCTCTGGAAAGAAACATTTAACAATTATCAGAAGTCAGGTTAGAGAAAAAAGATGACACATGAGAAGGAAGTGAGTCATATATTTTGATATGGAAAGAGAAAACAAGACAGATGTGATAATCAAGTGGCTTTAATAACATGGAAGTAAACAGGACAATACAAAGATGTAATTAACGGAACCTTTTAGACTTAGTTTAATAAGTAAAATAACAAACCTATAATATGCCATTAGTTCTTTTGTATTCAGAGAAATTGTTAGGTTGTCTCTCAAATAGAAAATGAATAATAATGATTTATGAAGAGGAAAGTAATTTTATACATCAGTTGGCATCAGCAATGGATTTTTCCACTGAACTAAAATACAAAATGAGCACACACTGCTACAGTTCCAGTGTTAGAATTAAAACCCAGAAGATGCCAAAGGAGGCTAAGGAGAGGTTCTTTGTATCTCAGACTGACAAAAGATATGGAACTAGAGCTGGGCAATTTTTTTTCAACAAATAGTTTATTCATCCAAAAAAGCCATTTCTATCAACCCGAAACTATTCTCAACTTCATACTGAGTTGACCAAATAGTTTGGACCAAAACCAAAAAATTGAAGTGTTTTGGGAATGTTGAAACTAAACTGTTTGTTTTGACATTACTGAAACACGTAGATTTGTTGGGCTAGTTTGACAACATGACCAGAGGAGGAAGTGATAGTGTCACCCTCCTTGTCACTTTCAGCCCAGTGGTTAGGCCACTCACCTCAGATGAGGAGATTCAAAATTTCTCACAGCATGTAAAGTTCTGAAAAAATTTGATATTTCAACTTTTCCATCCCAATTTAAGACTAATCAAATTTTGAATGATCAGAATTTCACACAGCATGCAGATTCCAATTTTTGACCAGCTATGCCTTTTAATTTCAGTTTTGATGACCCTGTTGGTAGGAGTGATGTGTTTGGGCATTTAATTTTGTTATTTGACACTGAACCTACAGTATATCTTGTATGTGAGCATTTAAGATAACCTGAGTGTTGTTAGGGTATGTCTACACTACGGAATAAGGTCGAATTTATAGAAGTCGGTTTTTTAGAAATCGGTTTTATAAATTCGAGTGTGTGTGTCCCCACAGAAAATGCTCTAAGTGCATTAAGTGCATTAACTCGGCGGAGCGCTTCCACAGTACCGAGGCAAGCGTCGACTTCCGGAGCATTGCACTGTGGGTAGCTATCCCACAGTTCCCGCAGTCTCCGCTGCCCATTGGAATTCTGGGTTGAGATCCCAATGCCTGATGGGGCTAAAACATTGTCGCGGGTGGTTCTGGGTACATATCGTCAGCCCCCCGTTCCCTCCCTCCCCCCGTGAAAGCAAGGGCAGACAATCATTTCGCGCCTTTTTTCCTGAGTTACCTGTGCAGACACCATACCATGGCAAGCATGGAGCCCGCTCAGGTAACCGTCACCCTATGTCTCCTGGGTGCTGGCAGACGCGGTACGGCATTGCTACACAGTAGCAGCAACCCCTTGCCTTGTGGCAGCAGACGGTACAGTACGACTGGTAGCCGTCATCGTCATGTCTGAGGTGCTCCTGGTCGCCTCTGTGAGGTCGATCAGGAGCACCTGGGCAGACATGGGCACAGGGACTAAATTTGGAGTGACTTGACCAGGTCATTCTCTTTAGTCCTGCAGTCAGTCCTATTGAACCGTCTTATGGTGAGCGGGCAGGCGATACGGATTGCTAGCAGTCGTACTGTACCATCTTCTGCCAAGCAGCCATGAGATGTGGATGGCATGCAGTCCTTCTGCACCGTCTGCTGCCAGCCAAAGATGTAAAAGATAGATGGAGTGGATCAAAACAAGAAATAGACCAGATTTGTTTTGTACTCATTTGCTTCCCCCCCTCCCCTGTCTAGGGGACTCATTCTTCTAGATCACACTGCAGTCACTTACAGAGAAGGTGCAGCGAGGTAAATCTAGCCATGTATCAATCAGAGGCCAGGCTAACCTTCTTGCTCCAATAAGGACAATAACTTAGGTGCACCATTTCTTATTGGAACCCTCCGTGAAGTCCTGCCTGAAATACTCCTTGATGTAAAGCCACCCCCTTTGTTGATTTTAGCTCCCTGAAGCCAACCCTGTAAGCGCCCCTCCCAGCGTCAGAGCAATGGCAAACAATCGGGCATCTGAGAGTGCTGTCCAGAGCAGTCACAATGGAGCACTCTGATGGGGCTAAAACATTGTCGCGGGTGGTTCTGGGTACGTGTCGTCAGGCCCCCGTTCCCTCCCTCCCTCCGTGAAAGCAAGGGCAGACAATCATTTCGCGCCTTTTTTCCTGAGTTACCTGTGCAGACGCCATACCACAGCAAGCATGGAGCCCGCTCAGGTAACCATCACCCTATGTCTCCTGGGTGCTGGCAGACGCGGTACGGCTTTGCTGCACAGTAGCAGCAACCCCTTGCCTTCTGGCAGCAGACGGTGCAATACGACTGGTAGTCGTCCTCATCGTGTCCGAGGTGCTCCTGGCCGCGTCGGCTGGGAGTGCCTGGGCAGACATGGGCGCAGGGACTAAATTTGGAGTGACTTGACCACGTCATTCTCTTTAGTCCTGCAGTCAGTCCTATTGAACCGTCTTATGGTGAGCGGGCAGGCGATACGGACTGCTAGCAGTCGTACTGTACCATCTTCTGCCAGGCAGGCAAGAGATGAGGATTGCTAGCAGTCGTATTGCACCATCTTCTGCCAGGCAGGCAAGAGATGGGGATGGCTAGCAGTCGTACTGTACCATCTTCTGCTGAGCAGCCATGAGATGTGGATGGCATGCAGTCCTTCTGCACCGTCTGCTGCCAGCCAAAGATGTAAAAGATAGATGGAGTGGGTCAAAACAAGAAATAGACCAGATTTGTTTTGTACTCATTTGCCTCCTCCCCTGTCTAGGGGACTCATTCCTCTAGGTCACACTGCAGTCACTCACAGAGAAGGTGCAGCGAGGTAAATCTAGCCATGTATCAATCAGAGGCCAGGCTAACCTCCTTGTTCCAATAACAACGATAACTTAGGTGCACCATTTCTTATTGGAACCCTCCGTGAAGTCCTGCCTGAAATACTCCTTGATGTAAAGCCACCCCCTTTGTTGATTTTAGCTCCCTGAAGCCAACCCTGTAAGCCGTGTCGTCAGTCGCCCCTCCCTCCATCAGAGCAACGGCAGACAATCGTTCCGCGCCTTTTTTCTGTGCGGACGCCATACCACGGCAAGCATGGAGCCCGCTCAGCTCACTTTGGCAATTAGGAGCACATTAACCACCACACGCATTATTCAGCAGTATATGCAGCACCAGAACATGGCAACGCGATACCGGGCGAGGAGGCGACGTCAGCGCGGTCCCGTGAGTGATCAGGACATGGACACAGATTTCTCTGAAAGCATGGGCCCTGACAATGCATGCATCATGATGCTAATGGGGCAGGTTCATGCTGTGGAACGCCGATTCTGGGCTCGGGAAACAAGCACAGACTGGTGGGACCGCATAGTGTTGCAGGTCTGGGATGATTCCCAGTGGCTACGAAACTTTCGCATGCGTAAGGGCACTTTCATGGAACTTTGTGACTTGCTTTCCCCTGCCCTGAAGCGCATGAATACCAAGATGAGAGCAGCCCTCACAGTTGAGAAGCGAGTGGCGATAGCCCTGTGGAAGCTTGCAACGCCAGACAGCTACCGGTCAGTTGGGAATCAATTTGGAGTGGGCAAATCTACTGTGGGGGCTGCTGTGGTGCAAGTAGCCCACGCAATCAAAGATCTGCTGATATCAAGGGTAGTGACCCTGGGAAATGTGCAGGTCATAGTGGATGGCTTTGCTGCAATGGGATTCCCTAACTGTGGTGGGGCTATAGACGGAACCCATATCCCTATCTTGGCACCGGAGCACCAAGCCGCCGAGTACATAAACCGCAAGGGGTACTTTTCGATAGTGCTGCAAGCTCTGGTGGATCACAAGGGACGTTTCACCAACATCAACGTGGGATGGCCGGGAAAGGTGCATGATGCTCGCATCTTCAGGAACTCTGGTCTGTTTCAAAAGCTGCAGGAAGGGACTTTATTCCCAGACCAGAAAATAACTGTTGGGGATGTTGAAATGCCTATATGTATCCTTGGGGACCCAGCCTACCCCTTAATGCCATGGCTCATGAAGCCGTACACAGGCAGCCTGGACAGTGGTCAGGAGCTGTTCAACTACAGGCTGAGCAAGTGCAGAATGGTGGTAGAATGTGCATTTGGACGTTTAAAGGCGCGCTGGCGCAGTTTACTGACTCGCTTAGACCTCAGCGAAACCAATATTCCCACTGTTATTACTGCTTGCTGTGTGCTCCACAATATCTGTGAGAGTAAGGGGGAGACGTTTATGGCGGGGTGGGAGGTTGAGGCAAATCGCCTGGCTGCTGGTTACGCGCAGCCAGACACCAGGGCGGTTAGAAGAGCACAGGAGGGCGCGGTACGCATCAGAGAAGCTTTGAAAAACAGTTTCATGACTGGCCAGGCTACGGTGTGAAAGTTCTGTTTGTTTCTCCTTGATGAACCCCCCCGCCCCTTGGTTCACTCTACTTCCCTGTAAGCTAACCACCCGCCCCTCCTCCCTTCAATCACCGCTTGCAGAGCCAATAAAGTCATTGTTGCTTCACATTCATGCATTCGTTATTCATTCATCACACAAATAGGGGGATGACTACCAAGGTATCCCAGGAGGGGTGGTGGAGGAGGGAAGGAAAATGCCACACAGCACTTTAAGCACAGCACTTTAAGCACAGCAATTCAATAAAATTTATTGAATGACAGCCTTCTTTTTTTTGGGCAATCCTCTGTGGTGGAGTGGCTGGTTGGCCGGAGGCCCCCCCACCGCGTTCTTGGGCGTCTGGGTGTGGAGGCTATGGAACTTGGGGAGGAGGGCGGTTGGTTACAGAGGGGCTGCAGTGGCAGTCTGTGCTCCAGCTGCCTTTGCTGCAGCTCAACCATACACTGGAGCATACTGGTTTGGTCCTGCAGCAGCCTCAGCATTGAATCCTGCCTCCTCTCATCACGCTGCCGCCACCTTTGAGCTTCAGCCCTGTCTTCAGCCTGCCACTTACTCTCTTCAGCCCGCCACTTACTCTCTTCAGCCCTCCACCTCTCCTCCCGGTCATTTTGTGCTTTCCTGCACTCTGACATTATTTGCCTCCACGCATTCGTCTGTGCTCTGTCAGTGTGGGAGGATAGCATGAGCTCGGAGAACATTTTATCGCGAGTGCGTTTTTTTTTCTTCTTTCTAAGCTTCACTAGCCTCTGGGAAGGAGAAGATCCTGTGATCATTGAAACACATGCAGCTGGTGGAGAAAAAAAAAGGGACAGCGGTATTTAAAAAGACACATTTTATAAAACAGTCGCTACACTCTTTCAGGGTAAACCTTGCTGTTAACATTACATACATAGCACATGTGCTTTCGTTACAAGGTCGCATTTTGCCTCCTCCCACCGCGTGAACGGATTTTGGTTGAATGCCAGCAAACATACACTGCAATGCTTTGTTCTACAGTGATTCCCCAGTACGTGTTGCTGGCCTGGAGTGGTAAAGTGTCCTACCATGAAGGACGAAATAAGGCTGCCCTCCCCAGAAACCTTTTGCAAAGGCAGAACCGCAAATGCCAGGGAAAAGTAATCCTTTCACATGCTTGCTTTTAAACCATGTATAGCATTTTAAAAGGTACACTCACCAGGGGTCCCTTCTCCGCCTGCTGAGTCCAGGAGGCAGCCTTGGGTGGGTTCGGGGGGTACTGGCTCCAGGTCTAGGGTGAGAAACAGTTCCTGGCTGTCGGGAAAAGCGGTTTCTCCGCTTGCTTGCTGTGAGCTATCTACAACCTCCTCATCATCATCTTCTTCGTCCCCAAAACCTACTTCCATATTGCCTCCATCTCCATTGAAGGAGTCAAACAACACGGCTGGGGTAGTGGTGGCTGAACCCCCTAAAATGGCATGCAGCTCATCATAGAAGCGGCATGTTTGGGGCTCTGACCCAGAGCGGCTGTTCGCCTCTCTGGTTTTCTGGTAGGCTTGCCTCAGCTCCTTCAGTTTCACGCGGCACTGCTTCGGGTCCCTGTTATGGCCTCTGTCCTTCATGCCCTGGGAGATTTTCAGAAAGGTTTTGGCATTTCGAAAACTGGAACGGAGTTCTGATAGCACGGATTCCTCTCCCCAAACAGCGATCAGATCCCGTACCTCCCGTTCGGTCCATGCTGGAGCTCTTTTGCGATTCTGGGACTCCATCATGGTCACCTGTGCTGATGAGCTCTGCATGGTCACCTGCAGCTTGCCACGCTGGCCAAACAGGAAATGAGATTCAAAAGTTTGCGGTTCTTTTCCTGTCTACCTGGCCAGTGCATCTGAGTTGAGAGCGCTGTCCAGAGCGGTCAGAATGGAGCACTCTGGGATAGCTCCTGGAGGCCAATACCATCGAATTGTGTCCACAGTACCCCAAATTCGAGCCGGCAACGTCGATTTAAGCGCTAATCCACTTGTCAGGGGTGGAGTAAGGAAATCGATTTTAAGAGCCCTTTAAGTCGAAATAAAGGGCTTCATTGTGTGGACAGGTGCAGGTTTAAATCGATTTAACGCTGCTAAATTCGACCTAAAGTCCTAGTGTAGACCAGGGCTTAGAAAGTAGTGAATTTAGATCTCATGAGAGATTATGAATAATACCCACGTAACTCCATTTGAGACTCTTTTCCAATATTGCATAGCTATTCAGACATTTAGTTATTAAATCTATGAATTTATATTTAATTTGTGCCCTTACCTTTGTCCTTTGGAACTTCTGGCGTCTTCACAGCTTTTTGTTTTACATGCTCTATAGCAAAATACAGTGGATTTCAGTTTTAGTGACTAAAAATAATAGATGCACACATGATGCATTTTTAAAAAATTAAGAACTAGCAGGTAACACATGGTAAAAGCTAAACCAATATAACCCTTGTTCTCTCTTTACACCTTATGGCATTTTGTCTGCAATCACCTCTCACGTTATGTCAGATTAAGTCCCTGATTCTTTAATACGATTCATTAGCACAGACTGCTGTTCCCAAGCAGAGACCTACTGAAGTAAATGGTACTTTGCATGGATGTAGAGATCCATGTAAGTGGGGATCTGAATGTAAGATCAGATTCTTAGGGCCTCAGCCAAAGCCTGTTGGAGGTTAACAGGAATCTTTCCATTGACTCTAAGTTGGCTTTCAGTCAGGCCCTTCAATTCAATACCTTAGGCGGGGAATATGTATTTTGTCTCAGTAAGAGTACTGAGCACACTTATTACATTGTATAAATAATATATGGCACACATCTTATTAATAACCATTTCCTACTGGTGCTAATCTGTTGGCCTCTGAAGTATACAGGTCAGTGAGCATTTGCAGGGATTAAATAGGAAATGATGTTTTCAAAGGGAGGAAACAATTTTGGACCTTTTTGAATGTCACTTGTTTGGAGTGAAAGAATGTTATCATTTGTAGGAATGCGAATTAGAGTCAGTCATAATCCTTCTGAGCTGATATGGCACTTAAATGCCTAGCAGAACTACATCTCCTTGCAAAGATTACTGTAGGCTCTGGATAAGCCAATGTTAGCTAAATCCACTGTGTTAAGCCAACAGAAGATTCTCTCTAAACTAGATTTAAAACTAGTTTCCAACACTCAACAGCTGCAGGCCCTCCAGACTTCCAGGACTAGATCCCAAGGATCTGTCTTAATCCACCACTATACTCAACCTGACTTAAGACATGAGCTTTGCTAATACAAATTCATTTCCAGTGGGGACAGAGCCTTAAATTACCTGCATGCATCTGATCTGGGAGACTTAGCAGACACTATCAGCAGCACCAGAGGTTAGAGGGAGGGTGCTAGATAATCCTTCTCCCAATGTGAAGTGGGGACACACAGCCCAACAGTCCATCCCTCCCTGCTGCAGGGGAGCTCCATGAAATTTCCTAGGCGGAATGGCCCTTGAAGAAAGTCCCAGCATTCTCTAGCAATTAGGGACTAAGCAGCAGAAGCAACAACTAACAGCAGCACCAGGGGGCTATCCAAGGTGTACCTGTCCCCACTCTTCGTGAGCCAGGGCTTTAGAGACACATGGCCCCAACAGCTCCCCTCTTTTTCCATCAGCCACAGGGAGCAGTGAATTTATATCATTAAATGGTCTAAATGATGTCAACCTTCAGGCTGCTCTAACTTGTGTCAGGGACTGACCTGGTCCATGATGGCCCCAGGATCAGGGAGACATAAAAATAGCTTAAAGCCACCTTTCCCCTCTCTGCCCCACACTGGTCCTCTATCAAGCAGAGATTAATTCCAAATGAGAAGCTGTGACCCTATGATTTTAGGATAGGAACAAGCAGCAGGAGTAGATAAATTCATCAGAACAAAGATCTTGTTGTTATACAAATAATCATACTCTAGCATTAAAACAGGAGAAGAAAAGAAATAGGACATATAGTCTGAAAAAGTCCTCGCTGTCTGATTCTTTTTATTAGGCACCAGAGGACATTTACATTTACATACCCTAAGTTTCCATTTTAAAGGAAAACACAGGCTATCAGAGAAAACACTCCACTGAATGCAAAAAATAGGATTTTTTTAACTTCAAATGAACTACACACAATGCCTAGCAAGTGAGATAAAGGACCAAAGAGCAGCAAACAATACACATCTGTTTCTTTAAATAACATGTAGTGTAAGTACTGTGAAAGGGATACAAACTACTGACTTTTTTCCTTGTGTAGAAACATAAAAATAAATAGATCGCATAACTAGATAACTATAAAATAGATGCACAGGAAAGTATGCCTGCTAAGTTTCTTTGGCTTCAGACTAATCCAACAAATCAAAATGAAACCAACCTGAAATTGTTGAAGGGGCTTTCTTATTGCAGCAAACAATTGAAGATTTAGTGTTACATTTTTAAATAAGTCTCAGATTCTGCCCCTAATAGGAACATATTTCTTTCGTAGAAGAAAGTAAGTTCCTTTAGTATTGTCCTTAATTGGAATTTATTAAACCAGAAGTGGACCTGACCATAAGGGTCAGGGACATTTGATTCAGCCTTTTAACTCGACAGGGAACCACTGTTACGTTCCTACTGGCGGACTATCCACACCTGAAATTCCTCCACCTTCAACAAAAAAACGCTTCATGCTATAGCTGGTCTCAGTCAATGCGCCTCCTCACTCTTTCCTGCCTTTCTATCGGTGGCAGTAATAAGGAAAACATTCACACATACTGACTCAGTTTCATAGCAAGAGTTTTGATTCAGAGAATCTTCGTCTTTCTCTGGTTAGCCCAAAACTCACCCTGTTGCCCCAAAGAGTCTGAATTAGATACCAGGATCCCTCTTTTCTTGCAGGAGTGTATTGATCACAAAAATGTTTAAATATCTCATCCAAAACTAAAATCAATGCCTTTATTCCATTTTCCAAGAACACCAACATGGAGCTCACAAGCTCCATAACAGAGATTTGTACTGGGCCTGAAGTCCAAAAGCCTGCCATTTTGCTACATATGATTGAAATCTGAATTTGTGCAGTAGTTTCTTTTTTTGAAATCATGGCCTTCAAATGCTGAATTGATAAAAGCTGTATCAGTTCTCTCCTTTGCTTTCTCTTAAGTTGATTTTCATTAGCATGCCAAATACCTACGTAGTGTCTGCCTTTTTCTTTCCAAAAGAGATTCCGCAAACTTTTCACTATCCCATCAAAGACTGGTTGGATGGAAAGCACAGGGATATTTTTGGTTCATTATGTTTAAACTTATATACGAGCTAGTACTTATATAAAATGGATGTTTACCTCTTAATTGAGAGGGGTTTTTCACAATTTTACCTTGTATTTCTTTTACTTGTTTATTTATGTAATAAAAAAATAAAACACTTAGGCGCTGATCCCGCAAACATTTACACACATACTTAAACTTCCAAAAGGAGTGCGGCCTGACTGACTGGAAGAACAGTTACTGATCCTATTGAATGCACCTACTGACTGCATCCCACACACATAAGCTCTGATTCAGAGCTGGTGCAACACATACAGCAAGAACACACATGCAACCAACAACTGACAGCACTGAACAGGCAAAAGAGAATACAGTGGGGAAGCAAAATGTTGTCCCTGAAGGGTTACTGTGCTCCAGTGAGACTGAGTGGGTATGGGACTTGTGCACACTGCATGCATTTGGTTTTTTTGGATATTAAGTTTAATAAAACCCCAGTTTTAAAACCATCCCTAGTCTGCGAGTATAACATGGCCTTTTGAAGAAAGGAGCAACAGATAGTCATGTCCCTGACAGAGCATCTGTCTCCAAGGCAAAAAAGGTACCTCTCATCATTAGACAAAATAGCTGCATCACAACAGGGGCAAGTTTTAAATGCTGGGGAGTTTGTTTCAGGCACAGCAGCTAAATCCCAGTAGCTGACAATTCCCTAAACATACACACACACACACACACAAACACACATCTAATGTCAATGGACATGAAAAAAACCCTACATTAATTATATGATCTAATATATTTACAAGTCTAAGAGAAAAATGCACAGTGAAGCAGATTTCTGTCTTGCTGTTAGGGATGAGGAGAAGAAACTGAAGGACAATTGGACCTGCTGTGCCCTTTATGCCCTTGGATGGGAGGGAATGAGGGATCCAGGGAGCAAGTGTGGCCCCAATGGACAGTGCTTGCTGAAAGACTCTAATCTCGTCCAATGGGATGCACCATGCATGCACACTAAAAGTGGAATTCACATGGACAATCACTTGAAGAGAGGGACTATTCATGTGTGAATGTGTTTGTGGGATAGGGGCCCTTATCATAAAGAAGCGGTAAATCAGCATGATTACCAGGGCTTGAGTATATATCTAGCAATTCAATTGCTGTCTCTTTCTCTACAGTTCACTAATTTACATGTGGTGTTACTCTACGTAGAGAACATAAACTAAATTCCTCAGTTACTCCTATTTGAAATAATACAAAATAGTTACTGTAATCTAATATAGGATATTATTATATTTGCATACGTGGTGGTACTTCTTATCCTGAAGAACATAAAGCACTTTTTAAACTATGTACATACACATATTGTTTCACCCTTGAAATGCAAGTAACTCTGGAGTGGAGGGTAGCAATAAGGTGTATGAAGGGGGCACGCCATGCTGAAAAACAGTGACTCAAGGGAAATTTTAGTTGAGTTAACCATCTATTCTTACAAAAAATGCCATAAGAAATTTTAAACTAACATGAGAAAGAAATAGACAGGCTTGCACTTCTAAAGACTCAGGTGGTTGAATGGTTGAAGCAGTGAGCTTTTAACCTCAGCCTTTACAAAGCCCTGAAGGCATGTCACTATCTATCACACTTTCATACCATTTCATATGCTAATATTTTACTTTATTCATGTTACATATATACAGGTTTATACAAGCAGTTCAATTCAGAACTTTCCAACTGCCTCTAGAAGACACTAACAATTCTTTATCTTGAAGAAGTTACAGATCCTAATCACTGATGAAGATAGTTTTCATAATGAACAAGCATTTGTATATTAATAGTTCTGTGGCTTCCACACACTAGTTAGATAACACTGCTTGACTCTCCTTTCATGGCATATATGGTAAACAAGATTCTGACAATTTTAACATTCAGATTATTTTTAAAGATAGAGGAAAGCCCCTCCTAGATTCAGTTATAATTATAATAAAGTTAGTTATGATAATTTTAAACCAACAAACATCCTATTACATTGTGTATAATTACCTTTACCTTTTAAAGCTGCAGGATGCTTTACTTTCTTTTCTTTGACATGCTCTGTAAAAATACGTAGTGTTTAATTATCAAACCAAAGGGTTAAAGGCTAAAATCTGATAACTCAGTGACAATGCTTGATAAGACAACTGATTGTTTGAAACAGTCCCCAAAACCATTTCAAAATGCAGTCAAAGACACTGATTTTGACCAGATTTAATATGCATACAAAATAAAACAACAAATTTTATGTAATTACAATGTGAGAAAAAAATCACTTAAAACTTGTCACATTTTTTCTGAAATCCTTTGCAAACCTTATCAAATGTTTCTTAATTCTGAGGCTGTAATTCTGAGTTTCACTGTAAACATTTTGCATTGCCTCAGCTTTGTTCTTCACATACAATTCAGGCAGTAATATTTAATCTGAATATTTCTTAAATTCTGAAAATTTATTTTCCTCACCAATCCAAAACCATGTTGTGTTACAAATAAAGACATCCATATATAGTGGGGATTTTAAAAAAAATCGAAACCTCTGGCAATTATAGTATTTTATGCTGTTATATTACCTTTATCCTTTGTTGCAGCTGGAGGTTTCACTTCTTTCTCTTTTACAGGTTCTGTAAATAAATATTTAGCACAGATACAGTGACAGTCACAAGCAAAAGCCTGGTTTGTGAAATGCAGAGACTGAATCTTATCAGATAATGAACCAGTTAGACAGTATGAGACTCTAGCTATACAATGGCACAAATGGCAAGAGATGAACTGATAGAAGAGTTGTGTGAAACCTGCCTGTTTCAGGTCACAGTGTATGTTTTGATTTCGTTATGAAACTTGCAAGATTTACTAAAGTTTAAATAAGCAACCTCCCACAGGTCCAGGATACTCTTTTAATCTTAGTTGCCATCTGAAGGGAGCAAACTGACCCATTGCCAACTCTCATCTCTTCAGATAATGTTTTGGTGACCCACTTTCACCATCTTCATTTTTCAAAGGGTCAGCAAAATAAGCTGGATACTTTTGAATCCTCCCAGTATCTTCTTGGGAACAGATAGTCTGTCCACCCTCCTCCATTCTTTTTTAACAGGTCAGGAAAGATACCTCTGCTCCTAGTACTAATTTAATGCTTTGAGGTGCCTCAACCCCTTAGTGAAAGTGCATTACATTACATGGCCAGCAGAAACAAGAGAAGGACTAACAATCAAAAAAGAATCCTACTAAAAGTGGAAACATGGACAAATTGATAAGAAGGAGAACAAAAAAGAATAGCACAACCATGTAGGAACAAAATCAGAAAGGTTAAGGGATAAAATGAGTTACCCTAGCAATGAACATAAAAGTCAATAAAAAGAAGTTCTTTGAAAACATTGTAAACTAGAGAAAGATGAAGGAATGTAGGCCCTCTATTTAGTGGGGAAGAGAGGTAATAACTGATGACAACAAGAAAGCAGAGATGTTTAATGCCTATTTTGCTTCAGTCTTCACTAAAACGGTTAATTGTGATCAGATACTCAATGCAAGTAATATTAACAACAGTGGGGAAGGAATGCAAGCCAAAATAGGGAAAGAACAGGTTGGAGAATATTTAGACGTTAGTTGTATTCAAGTGGGCAGGGGCTGATGAAATTCATCCTAGGGTACTTAAGGAACTAGCTGAAGCAAACTCAGAACCATTAGTAATTATCTTTGAGAACACCTGGAGTATCAGTGAAGTTCCAGAAAACTGGAGAAGGGCAAACATAGTACCTTTCTTTAAAAAGGGGAACAAAGAGGATCCAGGGAATTAACGACCAGTCAGCTTAACTTTGATACCTGAAAAGATACTGGAAAGAATTATTAAACAATTTGTAAGCATCTGGAGGATAATAGGGTCATAAGGAATAGCCAGCATGGATTTGTCAAGAACAAATCATGCCAAATCAACCTAATTTCCTTCTCTGTCAGGTTTATTGGCCTACTGGATAGAGAGGAAGCAGTAGACATGATATATCTTGATTATAGTAAGGCTTTTCACAGAGGCCCTCATGACATTCTCATAAGCAAATTAAGGAAACACATTCTAGATGGAATTACTGTAAGGCGGGTGCACAGCTTGTTGAAAGATGGTACTCAAATAATAGTTATCAATGGTTCTCCGTCACACTGCAATGGCATATCTAGTGGGGTTCTTCACAGGTCAGTCTTGGGCCCTGTATTATTCAATCTTTTCATTTGTGACTTGGATAATGGAGTAGAGAGCATGCTTATGAAATTTGAAAATGACACCAAGCTGGGAGGGGCTACAAGCACTTTGGAAGACAGGATTAGAAATTAAAAAAAACTTGACAAATCAGATAATTGGTCTCAAATCAACCAGAAGAAATCAATAAAGAAAAGCGCAAAGTACTTGACTTAGCAAGGAAAAATCAAATGTACAACTACAAAATAGAGAGTAACAGGCTAGGTGGTAGTACTGTTGAAAAGGATATGGGGGTTTGAATGGATCACAAATTGAACTGGAGTCAACAATGTGATGCAGCTGTGAAATAGGCTAACAACAGCCTGGCATGCATTAATTGAAGTGTCATATATATGACATGGGAGCTAATTGTCCCACTCTGCTTGGCACTGGTCAGGCCTTAGATGGAGTACTGTGCCCAATTCTGGGTGCCAAACTTTAGGCAGGATGCGGACAAACTGGAGAGAGTCCAAAAATGATAAAAGATTTAGAAAACTTGATCTATGAGGAAAGGTTTAAAAACTGGGCATGTTTAGTCTTGAGAAAAGAAGACTAAGTGGGGATCTGATAACAGAGTTCAAATATGTTGAGGACTGTTATTAGAGGATGGTGATCACTTGTTCTCCATGTCTACTGAAAATAGGCTATGAAGTAATACACCCATGAAAGGGTGCTATCAGCAGCACCCTGATCACTGACAATGCTGCAGCCTGAGGAAGGCTGCAGGCCCAGCTGAGGACAATTATACACTTTCTGGTGGGGGATTGTGAGCAGCGGGGTGACAATCATTGGGCTAATAAGGTAACAGGGGAGAATAAAAAGGGAGGAAACAGGAAGCAAGGGAAGTTCAGGAGATGGCTCTGGAGATGAGTCTTGGCTGGGGGAGTGAGGGCTGCAGGAAAGCCTACCCTTGCTGTAAGCCTATATTGCATGGTATTACTACATAAGAGGGGAACAAACACACACACCTTGGTGAAAAATAACCAGCCCAGTGTGTGTTTGTGATTGTGAAACCATCCAAACTGGCCAGGCAGTGCGGTTCACTAGGTAGTAACAAAAGTAACCTGCAGCAAGGGAGATTTAGGTTAGATATTAGGAAAAACTTTCTAACTATAATGGTAGCTAAATTCTGGAATAAGCTTCCAAGGGAAGTTGTGGAGTCCCCATTATTGGAGGCTTTTAAAAACAGGTGGGACAAACACCTGGTCTATGTTTATTTGGTCCTACCTCAGTGCAGGGAGATGGAATTTATGACTTCCTGAGGTCCCTGACAACCCTACACGTCTATGATTCTATGACTTTTTTGTTATGTGGTTTGTACAACTCCTAGACTAATGGGATCCTGATCCATGACTGCGGCTCCTTGTTACTATATAATTAAATAATAATTTGCAGACAAATAGTGGTGGTGGGAGGTAGACCACTGACAGAAGACAAAATATTTAGGAAAAGCAGGCCTACATTGCTCTCTGCCACCCTTCCCAGCCCTCCTAGGAAAGTGTGAGAAAGATCAGTCATTTGGCTTTCCTCTAAGGAGCTAGGAGTGGGCCAAGAGTTCCAGTGCTTGAAGATGCTGGAGAGCACCATGGCAGAAGACAGCCTAGCTTTCCCTACAGAAAATAACAGGCCTGGGTCTACTGAGGGAGCAAAGTTGTGCTGGGAATAGGAGTGCAGGTCTGAAACTTCCCAAAGTTTGCTGAAAGGCATGAATAACCTCAGTGACCTTTATTGGCAGACTGAAATCACACTTCACTTGTTCTCATTATAGTTTTCTAAAATGTGGCATACCTCCAATGTTTAGTGATTTATCAGTGCAACAATGAAGCTTTTTGTTTCTGTTTTAGTACCGTGCTCTTTGTAGGACAAGTCTAGTAGCTGTAAATGTGCATATAGGGAATTCAGTTATAATGAGACTTTGCTTATTGCAAAGTTGACCAAAAGTTGATAAAACCTCATTTCTGGTTATAGAATCAGAGAATAGTAGGGTTGGAAGAGACCTCAGGAGGTCATCTAGTCCAATCCTCTGCTCAAAGCAGGACCAATACCAACTAAATTATCCTAGCCAGAGCTTTGTCAAGCCGGGCCTTAAAAACGTCTAAGGATGGAGATTCCACCCCCACCCCCAGGTAACCCATTCCAGTGCTTCACCACCCTCCTAGTGAAACAGTGTTTCCTAATATCCAACCCAGACCTCCCCCACTGCAACTTGAGACCATTGCTTCTTGTTCTGTCATCTGCCACCACTGAGAACAGCCGAGCTCCATCCTCTTTAGGAACCCCCCTTCAGGTAGTTGAATAGTTTTGACACTGTCTCCCACAGTATTCTTGCCAGCATGTTAAAGAAGTATGGGCTGGATGAATGGACTATAAGGTGGATAGAAAGTTGGCTAGATTGTCGGGCTCAACGGGTAGTGATCAATGGCTCCATGTCTAGTTGGCAGCCGGAATCAAGTGGAGTGCCCCAAGGGTCGGTCCTGGGGCCAGTTTTGTTCAATATCTTCATAAATGATCTGGAGGATGGTGTGGATTGCACCCTCAGCAAGTTTGCAGATGACACTAAACTGGGAGGAGAGGTAGATATGCTGGAGGCTAGGGATAGGATACAGAGGGATGTAGACAAATTGGAGGATTGGGCCAAAAGAAATCTGATGAGGTTCAGCAAGGACAAGTGCAGAGTCCTGCACTTAGGACGGAAGAATCCCATGCGCCGCTACAGACTAGGGACCGAATGGCTCGGCAGCAGTTCTGCAGAAAAGGACCTAGGAGTTACAGTGGATGAGAAGCTGGATATGAGTCAACAGTGTGCCCTTGTTGCCAAGAAAGCCAATGGCATTTTGGGCTGTATACGTAGGGGCATTGCCAGCAGATCGAGGGACATGATCGTTCCCCTCTATTCAACATCGGTGAGGCCTCATCTGGAGTACTATGTCCAGTTTTGGGCCCCACACTACAAGGAGGATGTGGAAAAATTGGAAAGAGTCCAGCGGAGGGCAACAAAAATGATTAGGGGTCTGGAACACATGACTTATGAGGAGAGGCTGAGGGAACTGGGGATGTTTAGTCTGCAGAAGAGAAGAATGAGGGGGGATTTGATAGCTGCTTTCAACTATCTGAAAGGGGGTTCCAAAGAGGATGGCTCTAGACTGTTCTCAGTGGTAGCTGATGACAGAACAAGGAGGAATGGTCTCAAGTTGCAGTGGGGGAGGTTTAGGTTGGATATTAGGAAAAACTTTTTCACTAGGAGGGTGGTGAAACACTGGAATGCGTTACCTAGGGAGGTGGTGGAATCTCCTTCCTTAGATGTTTTTAAGGTCAGGCTTGACAAAGCCCTGGCAGGGATGATTTAATTGGGGATCGGTCCTGCTTTGAGCAGGGGGTTGGACTAGATGACCTCCTGAGGTCCCTTCTAACCCTGATATTCTATGATTCTATGATTCTAATACTGCTATCAAATCCCCTCTCACTCTTCTCTTCTGCAGACTAAATAACCCCAGTTCCCTCAGCCTCTCCTCATAAGTCATGTGCCCCAGAGTTATAGTTATAGTGAAACTATAATCTGTAAAATAAATTACTTCAGTGTATTCATGATCATATAGAGAAAGAGCCCCTTTCTCTCAAATAGTTACATTTACAAAAGAAAAGGTCAGGAGAAAGTTTGCTGAATGAGGGTTCGGAAAAAATCATTTTATTGGGATAGGTCTTTATTTCATCCTTTAAATATACAAATTGTCTGTCGATCTTCTGTTTTTCAAATGTCAAACTCTGCAGTCGCTGTTTCAGCCATCTGATGCTCCAAGCATAGAAAAGAAATAATTCAATGCCAATGTTGTGAAACATAGTGTTGCCTATCTAATATTACTATCAAAAAGTCAAATACTAAATATATGAATATTTAAACTGAGTCTAATATAAATGTTACCGTCAATGAAACATAGAGCTAAGATTGAAAATTATTAACTACATCTTTGTACCTCTATATTGTAGGAGTCACCCAACGGCAGTCCTATATACCATGCTACATCCTGCAACACCCCAAAGTACCAAATGAGTGGGCAAAAGATGGAGTTTCTGTCTTCCGAATCAGTGTCCTTACTGCTGAATGCTTATGTCAAGACCCCTTATGTGATTTGAATGCAGCTTTTGTGGTCAATTCCAGCAATGACAATAAATTTAATTATATTAGCAAAATAAGCCAGCCAGCATCACACACTGCTAAACCCATTAAGTTCAGAAGCCTGCTTATAAGAACTCAGGCAATGTGCATCTCCATTACTAACAGCACCGTTATTGCATTATTCCAAAAGATGTCACACCAATGATTTGATTTCAAGAGATCAAACACTTGTGAATTCAAAGCCTGAATCATTACTGACTAGGCCTTACATTCCAAGTTATCCAATAAACTAGAAAGCCATTCAGAAAATGCAGCTGAGATTAATGCCATCTCCAGGAAAAGCTTAACTTTTGGGATAGTGCTGGATCTGATACAGAAGTCACTCACGAATTAGAAGAAAGCTAGGAAATACTAGCTTAAATTATAAATAGATATAGGACATATTGTGACTAGATGAGCAGTCTGAGATCTATCCTATAGTTGCCATTGAAATACTATATTATAATTATGGCAAAATTATAGTCTGGTATGCAGGATAGCACCACTAATTCACACCAAGGCCTCTGTTATTTATTCTACACTGGTTCTCAGAATTAAACATCTACTGACATCAGAATACGCAGCTGATATACTGAAACTAACGGAGTCTCAGTGACAATCAGAGAGAAGAATTTGGTCCATAAAATAATAAGTTTTTTGTAATCTAGGTTTGGCACAGCAGTGTTACAAAGGGGTGAGAAATCTCCTCATGGCCAAGAGAAGTAGAGAGTAAACATAATCCTCTGCGCTAAAATAGAAAAGAATTGCTTAGCATTTCCATATGAATACCTCTGTTTACTTGATTCTATTCTATCTAATCAACCATTCATCCATCTACCCCTCCCATAATAATAATTAATAATACTTGACTCTCATATACTACTTTTCATCTGTAGAGCTTAAAGTGGTACTGAGTCAGTTATAGGGAAAATGTATGATAGAGCTTACTTGTTTCTTTAGGCTTTGGTTTATCTAAACAAAAACAAAAACAAAAAACGTCTTTAGAATAACCTTTGTTTCTTGTAGAAGCAAAAATTTAATTCAATAAAAATGGGCTGTAATAGAAGAAACCTATAAAAATGTCTTTAGTCAACAAACAAGAGAAATTAACAGCTCAGGATTAGATTGAAAGTCATTACCATTTTATGATTGCTTGGCAGCGTACGTGAAATGAGTTGATGGACTCAGTCCAATTTGTAGCAGACATGTAACCACCCTGCACGCACAAAAAATACCAAAACAACCTGTACAATTTTCTACTAATTAGCCACCTTTGTAGCAGTGTCCAGTAATCCAGGAAGTATTGTGACTTGGGGTACTTCTACACGTCAAGCTGAAGGAGTAACTTCCAGCTTGAGTAGATGTACACACACCAGCTCTAATCTAGCTAGCCTGCTAAAAATAGAAACGTAGCCCTGACAGAGGAGCTATCTGCCCAAGAACATACCTAAGGTCCTGAGCAGGATTTTATTTGGGATGGCTAGCCTGTCCTGCCATGCTCGCTACACTTCTATTTTCAGTATGCTAGCTCGATCTACACTTCTATTTTCAGTATGCTAGCTCGATCAAAACTAAAATGCATATACGTACTCAAGCTGGAAATTACCCCTCCAGCTCAAAGTGCAGACAGACCAAGAGCAAAGAGGAAGTAAGGTAAGTAGTAATTCACTGCTAGCCTCTACTGATAACTTAATATCCTGCCCCTCTCCCCTGCTCCTCACTTGCTCAGCTACTTTTGGACACTGAATAGGGGGATGGAGTTAAAGCTCTGCCTGTTCCCTGAAGCTCTCCAACTACCCTGCTCTTCCTGCTCTCCTTTAAACGTTTTGCAAAGGTTGCACCAATCTCTACATTTCCACTAACATGAAAACAGGTAAATATTATCAATAATATTTTTCCTACCACTATTTTGCCCAGTTCCATATACTAGTGATTTAACATCAAAGGCAAAACAGTTTTAATACCTGAACATTTTATTTTGAAACACCAGAATTCTTGTTAGGGTTGTTAAATTAGCAATGCTGCTAACTCGTGATTTTATTACGACTCCCAGTATTTTGTGTTGCTCTTAAAGCCCCAGCCCCTAGAATCACACGAGTAGGTGAGTATCTTAAAATTAAAACTGTATTTTTAGCCCTCATGTTTGTGGAGAAAAGCTTGAGTATATGACCTAAGCAAACCCTTAAGGCTCAAAAACCAAAGGTAAATAAATAGAACCTCAAATGATGATTTTTTTTAACAAAAAATCTCATGATTTTTAACCCATCTCATGATTTTGGGGCCTCAATTCCTGAATGTTTGGGATTGGCAATACTGAACTAGCATTACAGTAGGATGGATATTTTTCCCTTCCTTTTCTTACTGAACACTGGAATCTGACAACTAATATCACAAGTGATGTCACAGCTCAGTTTTAGATGCATGTGCGGGATGGTGCAGCGAGTGAGCTGCTAGATCTACTACATCATAGTCCACCATAGGAGGCCTGCAGCAGGCCTCAACCAGACTACTCAAGTGGTCTTTGGCTCATCTCTAGGGTGAGAGATAAAACGATATCTCCTAGCATCCAATGCAAAGCCCTTTTACTGAAGTTTTTCAAAAAAAGACCAGAACTGTACTCAATGGGTTTTTACATGAGTGTAAGGCTACATCTACTGTTGGAGCAGGGGGTGTGATTCCCAGCTTGCACAGATGTACTCACAATAGTTCTCATCAAGCTAACACACTAAAAATAGTAGTGTAGCCAGGGTAGCAGGGCAGAGGCAAGTGGCAACATAGGCTAGCCACCTCCAGTACAAACCGCCTAGACCTCATGCAGGTACATACTCAGGATGGCTAATCCATGCTGCTGCTTGTGTTCCCCAGGCTACCTTGGCTACACCACTAATTTTAGCATACTAGCTCAATGAGAGCTACTACAAGTATGTCTATGTGAGCTGGGAATCACACCCCCAGCTCCACTTGTAGACGTAGCCTAAGACGTGCCTCTTCTGTTCATCAGCCTTCCAGTTTTTCTTAGGATGCAATGCAATCTCCAGATCTTCGTCAAGACATAGCGCTAGATCCTCAGTGGTGTAAGCTGGCACAGCTCTGTTGATTTCAATGGAGCTACGTTCATTGATCCCAACTGAGGATCTGGTCCACAGATGTTTGACGCTCCACTTGCCCTACCACATGATTGTCTCTCTTATTTTTAAACGGGGACCCCATGTTGCTGAATGAAAGTCACCCTGCAGGACAGGAAATCTTCTATGGGACAGGTGAAATATTAAGACGCCAGAATGGTTTAGTCACTTGAAGCGTCTGAGTGTGTTTTGTATTACATAAGCGAGAGACTGAGCCAGAATCCTATCTGAAATTCTCTCTTCTCTGGCAAACTGAGCAGATCAATGGCAGAGACTGATAGAGTAATTAATTTAAAGGTTATTGCCATGAAGCTGTCTGGTTTTCCCCCTGAGCCATTGTCTTTCTAAAGCAGATAATGTCAAAATATTTCAAGTTTCTCTTTACCTTGCTCCATTGCCTTCACTGTTTTTTCTTCCTTCTTTACAGGTACTGCTGCAAAACAAAGATAAGGTTTAAGGAAGACTTCCAGTCAGAAGTGCTGCCCCCCACACAAAGCCTTTCTCAAGTAATTAAATGTCTACAGATTTCTTTGAAGGAAATGATTTCTAAGTCTTGTGACCACAAGAGAACCTCTCTTCCTCACAATCAACTGGTAACACATTTTTGACCTAACTTATAAAGAAAAGGAGTAAAGTGAAAGGGGATACTTCATTTCTTTCAAAAACGAATAATACAACATTTCCTTCTTTGTCTTGAAAGAAACCTCAGGCCAGGTTGTGATGAGCCTGGCGCAACTGCACAGAGAGCCACACCAGAGGCTCTGCTTTGCACAGTCATGCAAGGGCCTCCCCCAGTAGCAGTCCCTATACTCCATACTAATGATGAGTGCCCGTACAAAGCCCTAATATACGCGGCTTGCTGAATCAGGGTCTAAGCACATGTTTCACTTTAAGTATGTGAATAGTCCTACGGACATCAGTGGGACTATATCACTGAAATACGTATTTAACTCCCTTGCAGAATGGTGTGATAGATAGAGATTATTTGGTCCCTGTGATTATTTAGCAAATCAGCTAACAGGTGGATGGCCAGGAAGTGGGGCCACACCCACACAAGAAGGTTACGACCCCTCCTGGCACATGCCCAAATAGAGGCCTTCATGTTTTCTGAAATTTAACATGACATATTTGGGAATAAGTGTATTTAATAGAATGTATAAGTTCTTGTTATTTAGGGATGAAAAATTTGTTTAGCGATAAAGTGTAGTGCCAGTTTAAATCTGGTCCAACATTTAACATCTGTAAAATGCAGTTCTTACAAATCCTTAGGCCAAATGAAATCTCCTGCAGTGTTTGAAACACAAAATCTGTGGCACTAAGAAACTGAAAGGGAAAATGTCTTAACTGAATTTCATTGAACAAGTTGAGAGAAATGCAAAAAGTAAACAAAGGATAAATTGCAAGAGGTAAACTGTGTTCAGAAAATTATTTTACTTTCAACAATCTAAGGCATTTTTGCTAACATAGGTAGGGTCCTACCAAATTCACAATCTATTTTGGTCAATTTCATGGTCACAGAATTTTAAAAATCATAAATTTGATGCTTTCAGCTATTTAAATCTGAAGTTTCACGGTGTTGTAATTGTAGGCGTCCTGACCCAAAAAGGAGTTGTGGGGGGGTCACAAGGCTATTGTAGTGGGGGGTTGTGGTATGGCTACCATTACTTCTGCGCTGCTGTTGGTTGCGGCGCTGCCTTCAGAGCTGGGCACCCGGCATGGTATGGTATTGCCACCCTTACTTCGGCCCTGCTGCTGGCAGGGTGCTGTCCGCAGAGCTGGGCGCCTGTCCAACAGCCACCACTCTCCGGCTGCCCCGCTCTGAAGTCAGCAAAGAAGTAAGGGTGGCAATGCCGTGATCCCCCTGCAACTCCCCTTTGGATCAGGATCCCCAATTTGAGAAACACTGGTCTCCCTCCTGAAATCTGGAGGTAAAAGCACACAAAAGACCATATTTCATGGTGGGAGGCCAGATTTCACAGTCCGTGGCACGTTTTTCATGGCAGTGAATTTGGTAGGGCCCTAAAGATAGGGAAATAAATTTATTTCTTTGTATTGATAGTGTTTTCGCTGTTAGCAGCATCCTTTTCATTTGGTGTTTTTCAACCTGGCACAAGAAAACATTCAGTATAAAACTTTATGCTACAGCCCATTGCAAAAAAAAACACATGCAAGGATTTTGCTTTTAAAATTAATGTAAATACTAATGACTACAATCTGCCATATTTACTCACACTGAGTAGTCCCTGTTGAAATCAATGGGGCTATTTACAAGGGTCTTGATCCAGCAGCATGCTGAGGACTCTGACCCCGCTTCACCAAAACATGCCAGCAAATGCTCAACTTTAAGGCCTTGTATACACTACAGAGACTATCATTCATAACCACGGCATTGTAGCTATGCTGGCACAGGTGTAGTGTAGATTCATCCTACAGCATCAGAAAGGTTTTTTTTCCTGTTACTGTAAGAAAACCACTTCCCTTGAGCGATGGTCGCTAGGGCAACAGAAGCATTCTTCCATCATCCGAGCTGCATCTACACTGGAGGTTAGATCAGCAAAGCTACACTGCAGGTTGTAGATTTTTCACACCTGTGAGCACAATAGCTATGTTGATTTAAATTCTAAGTGTAGGCCAGGCCTAAGAATGTGAGGAGTAACATTGACTTCTATGGAACTTAAGCACTTAGCAAACATGAAGCACATACTTATGCAGGGCCATCCCACAACATTTTGGCACCTGAGGCAGGGAGCTCAAATGACGCCCCCATGCTCCCTCGCTTGGGCTAAAACTTTGAAAAGTCTCAATTCTGCCTTCTTCCTGTTCTACTGCTCTGCTACCTACCCCAATAAAGGAGAACTAACAACTTAAAATGCCTTGTTCAAAAAATTTAAGTAACACTTAACTTTCAAATGCCTGAACAGCAAATGTAACTTTTCTTGTCTGCATAGTAAACCCTGGCATTTTCATCTGTTTGAATAAACAAAGTGGTGCTTTCCGTGCCTTCTTGGTTGCAAAGATTTGAACTGCTTCCTGAAGGTCCACAGTCTGGGCCAGCCCATGCTCTATTGAGATGGCTGCAATGCCAACCAGACTCTCCTATGTCACTGTGGAGCGTAGATGTGTTGTTATTAACTTCAGCTTGGAGAAGCTGCGTTCTCCACTGGCAACTGTTACAGGAAGTGTTAGAAGTATGCACAGAGCAACAAAAGCATTTGGAAAGAGGGTGGTCATCTTATTTGTGCACATATATCCAGAACATCCTTTGGAGTTGATCCTGCTGAAATGTATCTTGAAAGGGCTTTCAGTTCATCACCTAAATCACTCGCATCAATATCGCACGTGTCAACATGTGTCAACACTGTCTCTAGTGCCCTGCATTGCTGGTGTAGGTCTTCTTCAGTTATAGTGAGGAGTTCTGGAATATCATACAGCATCTCAAATATACTGCTGTGTTCCTTGAGCTGCATGAAATGTTTTTCAACTGACTGCATTGCACAATCTAGCACCTGGTTAAAGAATTCAACTTTGAATTGTTGTTTGGGATCTCTTATGGGATTATCCCATGCCCCGTAATCAAAATGTCGTCTTCTTCGGTGACTCTCGTATTCTTAAATGGGTGGGAAAATAGCTTCAGTGTGAAGTTCCTCTGGCAACTTCTGTGCACTCTTCAGAATGTTTTAAAATCCCTCATCTGACCAGTAAGACCGTAGGTATGACTTTGCTTTGTCCAGTTGTTCCATTGCTCCAGATATATCAAGGTCAGCACCTTGGAGTCTCTTGCTTACAACATTTATTTCAAACAGTACGTCATGCCACAACACTAAGCCACACAGAAATTTGAAGTAATGTATGTTTCTGGTGATTCCATTTCCCTCTGCCACTGTTCTCCCACGAACAGTTCCTGTCAAAGCATTATCCTCCATAATGGCAACTATGGCATCATCTATCTTCCCAGTTCGGTGTTTGATAGGCTTTTTCACCTCAACTCGACTTTCCCATCATGTGGCACTCAGTGGTTTCAGTGTCAGAGAGGATGTTCCCAGATGTTGCTTCCAAATTTGCTTCCAAATTTGCCATCAGTGAGTTGATGCAGAGAAAAATACATAGATGCTTTGAATTACACTAAAAAATTCAGCAGCCTCACTGGAAGCTGATGCTGCATCACTGACCACCAAGTTCAATGAATGAGAACTGCATGGCACAAAAAAAGCTCAAGGATTTAACTCTTGGATCCGTGTCTGTACTCCTCTGCTCTTTCCTCTCATGTTGGCACCATTATCGTAACCCTGACCTCTCATGTCAGCTATCACAATTCCTGTATCTTCCAGCTTTTTAAGAAGCACATTTGTCATACCAGCTCCTGTAGTATCATCAATGTCAATAAATTCTAGAAAATGCTCTCTGACAGTCACCATTACAGGGACATTTCACTAGGTTCTGTTGTTGTTACAAAATGCACAATTAAAGTCATTTGTTCCATATGGCTGATGTCAGGTGTGCAGTCCAGAATAACAGAGTAATTTCTTTCTGACTTCAGCTCTGCCACAATCTTCTGTTTGACTTTTGTTGCCAGTAACTGTATGATCTCATTTTGAATTGTTTTTCCAAGGTAGTGGTGTGTGTATGTTTCTTGGGTGGTGACTTTTCTTAGACGCTCCTGGAGTACAGCATCAAACTCAGCCATCAGCTCCACAATTTGAAGGAAGTTTCCATTGTTTGGCACATACAGCTGATCTGAAGTGCCACACAGTGTTAGGTTTTGGGTAGCAAGCATTCTCACAATGGCAATAGCTTTTTCAGAACATTTTGCCAGTAAAGAGACTCTGATGTAATCTTCTCTCGAGGCTGATCATCTATGGTGGCCTTTAACCTTAGTCTCATCTCAAGCTCTTTCCACCTATAGAATGCTCTCTGGTAATTTGCTGCCTTCTCATGGCATGCCAGATTTCTAGCCAGATTTTTCCAGTCCTTTTGTTCCTGTAGAACCCAATGTGGCTGGAACATTAGACTGGAAGAGTTTGCAACAAAAACAGTATGCAACATTCTGGGTTTTTGAGTACATAAGCCATGGCCTCTCCGCTTTGTCACCATTGGGGATTTCACGCCAGTAACGTGTTGGATGGAAACTTCTATTTTCATGCTCTTTGGGGAACATGAAGTTTTTCACTTGCTAGGCCTATGCAGTACAAAGAAGTCCCTCAGGCTACTGCTCAAGTGGGTCCACAGTCTAGGGTCATCTAGACTTAAGGAACTAAACTCAGCAGCAGCTGTTTCTTGCGCCTCCACCACACTCTTCTCTGATCTCCACTTTTCTTCAGGTTACATACATTTGAGATGGGGATATGGATGGTGCAGTAGCTGCCAGGTCACCTGCACTCTGACTAACTGGAAGATCAGGCATCTCCTCACCACTCACATCCTCACTAAGGCCAGAAGGGTCACCGTGAACATTTGTGTCTATGTGTCTCAGGACAGCTCCTTCCTGCTTCGATAGAAAAGCTTCCTTTGCTTGCTTTCGTTTTCTGAATGCTGCCCCAGAGGAGCGTTTTCTTCTTTCACTCATGACTGCTGTTCTGTGCCAGCTATAGTGGCTCTCAACACTCAATTAAAGGGGACAAATAAGCAGGCTGGTAGCAGGACCTGAGTGAGGGAAGATATCAGCATCTTAAGGGCCTAACTGGCTCCGACTACTTACTTCAATTGACTGCCTATTCTCCTCAAGTGGGTTCAGGGAAGCAGCAGGAAACAGGAAGCTCCCTGAGAAGCTGGTGTTAATCAGTCCAGGCTCCTGGGGGTGCTAGAGAGGTACATAAAAGGATCCTCCTCCTCTCTCTCCCTGCAGCTCCTGCTGCTTTCTGTTATTCCCTCTCACCTTTTCTCCTGCCTGTCTCTTGTGCCTTCCTTCCTCCAGCACAGCACTCCACCATCTCTGTGCATCTAGAGCAGAGAGAATGCATATGCACCAGCAGCAGACACAATTTTCTACACGCTGGGTCCTATGGCGCCCCGCACAGTCTGGCACCTGAGGCGGCTGCCTCAGTTTGCCTCATGGTAAGGCCAGCCCTGTGCTTATGTGCTTTACTCGTTTAGCAGGATTGTAAGGTACCACTCGCTGTGAACAAGAGCAGTGAAATCTGGTACTAAATGAATTTCAAAATGAACATATAGTCACAAAACTACTATGATAAGGACCAAATGAATTTTTAAGCATGCTTGTTTTCTCCAAACTACATTTACCTTTCTTACCTGAAACCGCAACAACTTCCTCTTTGGCTCGTCCAGTTTCTGAAAATTCAGAACAATAATGGAATGAAAAACAGTCTGCAGAAATACTTCAAAGATACCAGACAGCAACCCAAAACAGCATTTGCTATGAGCAAGACTAAAAGAGCAAAGGACAGTAAAACCAGCTGTAGAATATACGGCAATATAAAGTGCTTCTGTTAATGAAAACAATCTTTCTGATAATCTTTCATTTATCGAATCAGGGGAAATACATGGCAAAGAGAAGAAAATGATGAGAAAGCATACAAATGAAAAAAAATATAGATGAAGTCATTCTAATCTATATAATCTGCACATGAAGGCCTGAGAACCAAGAAGTTGATAGTAAAATACATCTACTGAAAATAAATGGACTTGACTAACTCAATTCACTCAGCAGGCATATAACAGGCTAGACACAAGTTTAAGTTTCCTCAAAAACATTATAAATCTATGCAGAAGAAACTTTTGACCTTTTGATACCTTGTCAGATAAATCCTAAAGGAGCTGAATAGCAAGTGCCAGAACTTTTCAAGTGTTAAGAAAAAGATGAGCCTGACTTGCAAAACTCAGATCCAGATTTCCAGGCTTCCAACATTTGAGGGCGTTTGGATTCAAGGTTTTGGCTAAGTCCATTAAAATAATAGAGGTCAATCATGAAATTTGATCCAGATGCCAAACCTTACTTTCCCACTTCCCCACATTCTGTCCCCACCCTGCAAAAAAGATTTGGTGGTATCTAGACTCAAGGGGTTTGGTTTGGACCTGTCTTGGGTTAGGAGACTAGCTTTTCTCCATCACTGAACAACAAAGCTTAAAAGCAAAAACAGTAATAAACTTCCCTACTCTGTCATAATTTTCACTTTAAGATTCTTTGCCCACTGGGAAATCTCTTCAAAATTACCAAGTATCACTCAGAGCTAATTAATTTTCAAAGCCGCTGCATTGTCATTTCTATACTAAATGGGTATAAAGCACATTTTTTATTCCAGAACATAGACAAAGTTCATGCTGAAATTAAATGTGTTCCACTGAATGTAAGAAATCCATGTAAACATTCCACTAAAGGTATGGAGATATTTTGATATATGAAACACCAACATGGCTGCACTCCTCAGGGACAGTGCAGATCACTAAGCCCACGTCAAAGCATGTGACATCTGGGAACAAAGTATTCTCAGTCACCTCCTGCCTCCTAAATCCCCCGCCATCTCGCCCCAAATAAAAATCAAAACAAAATCAATTTTTAAAAAGTAAACTAAAAATGTAAAATGTCAAAACACCCCTGTACTCCAAGCAGAGTTTTGACCACAAAAAGGGAGGGTGACAGAGACGTCATGAAACCTACTACAGATATTGCCATTTCTATAGATTTTATTTGGAAGATGCCCAGATACTACAATGATGGGCAGCTGTATAAAACTCTAAGATAGGTAAATGACTTGACAGACACTGACATTACTGATGCTCAGAGCGTAGTGTTGCATAAAATTCCCTAGGTTTGCTACATTCATTTTGGTTTGATTATAACAGAATTTTTATAAAAATGTGTTATATTCAGATCAAGATCAGACATGTCTAGAATAATAGAAATGTAGGGCTGGAAGGGACACCCTGGTCTGCGGCAGGACCAAGTAAATCTAGACCATCCCTGACAGGTGTTTGTCCAACCTGTTCTTGAAAACCTCCAATGACAGAAATCCCACCTCTCTTGGAAGCAAAGCTGAACTGCCTTAATAGTTAGAAAGCTTTTCTTAACATCTAACCTAAATCTCCCTTGCTACAGATTAAACCCATTTCTTCCTGTCCTACCTACACTAGATATGGAGAACAACTGATCACCATCCTCTTTATAACAGTATTTGAAGACCATTATCATTCCCCCACACCAGTCTTATGATCTCAAAACAAAACGTGCCCAGTTCCTCATAGATGAAGTTTTTTAAACCTTTTATAATATGTGTTGCTCTCCTCTGGACTCTCCAATTTGTCCATATCTTTCCTAAAGTATGGTGTCCAGAACTGAATGCAGTACTCCAGCTGAGGCCTCACCAGTGCTGAGTAGAGTGAGACAATTACCTCCCGTGTCTTACATAGGACGCTCCTGTTAATATACCTCAAAATTATATTAGCCTTTTTTGCAACCAAATCATATTGTTGGCTTATATTCAATTTGTGATCCATTCTAACCCCAAACTGTTTTCAGCAGTACTACCACCAATATTCCCTATTTTTAGTTGCACATTTGGTTTTTCTCCCTCCTAAGTGCAGTACTTTGCACTTGTCTTTATTGTATTCCAACTTGTTGATTTCAGACCAATTCTCTAATTTGTCAAGGGCATTTTGAATCCTAATTCTGTCCTCTCCTCACAGTTTGGTCTCAACTGCAAATTTGATGAGCAAACTCTCCACCCCATTATCAAAGACATTAATGAAAATATTGACTAGTACTTGTCCCAGGTCTGACCTCAGTGTGACCCCTCTGGATACATCCTCCCAGTCTGAGAGCAAACAATCAGTAACTTCTCTTTGAGTTATGCATCTACCTCACAGTAATTTCATCTAGCCCACATTTCCCTCATTTGCTTATGAGAATTTCATGTTGGGCCTGTGTCAAAAGCCTTGCTAAAATCAAGATCTATCATCCCTTCAGCCTCCCTGCTATCCTCTAGGCCAGTAACCCTGTCAAAGAAGGAAATTATGTTGGTTTGGCATGAGTTGTGCATGACAAATCCATGTTGGCTATTCCTTATAACCTATTATCCTCCAGGTGCTTACAAACCATTATTTATTAATTTGTTCCAGTATTCTACTAGGTATCCTACCAGGTATCAAAGTTAGATAGACCAGTCTCCCTCTGATAACTCACCAGAAAGATACTAAAATAGTAAAGACTAAATATGCCCAGGTTTTTGAACCTTTCTTCATAGGTCAAGTTTTCTAATCCTTTTATCATTTGTGTTATTCCCATCTTAGAAAAGAGACAACTAAGGGGGAATATGATAGAAGTCTATAACATCATGAATGGTATGAAAAAAGTGAATAAGGATGTGTTGTTTACCCCTTCACATAACACAAGAACTATGAGTCACCCAACGAAGTTAACAGGCAGCAGGTTTACGATAACTATAAGGGAGAAGTTCTTCACACAACACACAGTCAACCTGTGGATCTCATTGCTGGGTGATGTTGTGAAGGCCAAAAGTGTAACTGGTTCAACAAAGAATTAAATAAATTCATGGAGGACATGAACTCACCAAAATGGTCGGGGACACAACCCCAGTTCTGGAAGTCACAAAACCTCTGACTTTCAGAAGCTGGGACTGGACAACAGGGAATGGATCACTCGATAATTCCCCTGTTCTAGTCATTCCCTCTCAAGCATTTGGCTCCAGCCACATGCTGGACAGGATAGTGAGCTAGACTGACATTGGTCTGACCCAGTATGGCTGTTCTTAATCTCCTGAACTGGAGAGAGTCCAGAGGAACTCTTTTCAATTACTGAAGAAGAGAGTTAAAACAAAAAGTCCCCTCGTAATCACATCATGATTGTTCCCCTCACTGAACATGCTTCAGAATTTTCAGGCTTCGGCAGCAGTTACTGAGTTTGGTAGCCAAACTGCATCCTGGTAGATGCTAAGCCTGAACTGTTTTCACAATGGGAAAATGCTAAGTAAGCGGATGAAGAGCAGCAAGGGGCAAATAAATAGGTATGAAAGGCAAGGGCCATATTTAGTCCTAGTTTAAGGTGTATCTACTTCAGCCTAAAGGAATTTAGCCCACAATACAAAGATTTGGGGCATACGATACAAAAGAATTCCACCTTTGAGTCTTGCTGAGCAGTGAAGGAAACAGTAGCAATATTTTAATCATTACAGTCTTTTCATTATGAAACAAACCACGTGGGGGTTTCAGAATTAGGATTAAATTCATACTAAGTGTTAATAAGTGAAACTCCACTGAAATTTATAGATTTATCCCAGGGTGGATTTTGGCTAATTTAATTTAATATAGATTGCCAACTGACCACAACAAAGAAAATGTAAAAGAGGACTTTTCTACCTTCTCTATGTGTCTTGTAAGAAACCAGAAGGTCCGTTTGTGTCCTATCAACTGGGTGGCTTCTTGCTCTGCGTAGATAGATAACAGGGCAAAACAAACCAGACTAATGTGTAACTTACTACCCAGATGAAAGGTTTCAGAGTAGCAGACGTGTTAATCTGTATTCACAAAAAGAAAAGGAATTTTTTGGCACTTTAGAGACTAACCAATTTATTTGAGCATAAGCTTTCGTGAGCTACAGCTGCATCCGATGAAGTGAGCTGTAGCTCACAAAAGCTTATGCTCAAATAAATTGGTTAGTCTGTAAGGTGCCACTAGTACTCCTTTTCTTTTTACTGTACCAGAGTGATCACTTAAGGTGAGCTATTACCAGCAGGAGAGTGGCGGGGGGTGGGGGAGAACCTTTTGTAGTGATAATCAAGGTGGGCCATTTCCAGCAGTTGACAAGAATGTCTGAGGAACAGTGCGGGGTGGGGGAGGTGGGAAATAAACATGGGGAAATAGTTTTACTTTGTGTAATGACACATCCACTCCCAGTCTTTATTCAAGCCTAAGTTAATTGTATCCAGTTTGCAATTTAATTCCAATACAGCTGTCTCTTGTTGGAGTATGTTTCTGAAGTTTTTTTGTTGAAGAATTGCAACTTTTAGGTCTGTAATCGAGTGACCAAAGAGCTTGAAGTGTTCTCTGACTGGTTTTTTAATGTTATAATTCTTGATGTCTGATTTGTGTCCATTTATTCTTTTACGTAGAGACTGTCCAGTTTGACCAATGTACATGGCAGAGGGGCATTGCTGGCACATGATGGCATATACCACATTGGTAGATGTGCAGGTGAACGAGCCTCTGATAGTGTGGCTGATGTGATTAGGCCCTACGATGGTGTCCCCTGAATAGATATGTGGGCACAGTTGGCAACGGGCTTTGTTGCAAGGATAGGTTCCTGGATTAGTGGTTCTGTTGTGTGGTGTGTGGTTGCTGGTGAGTATTTGCTTCATGTTGGGGGGCTGTCTGTAAGCAAGGACTGGCCTGTCTCCCAAGATCTGTGAGAGTGATGGGTCGTCCTTCAGGATAGGTTGTAGATCTTTGATGATGCGTTGGAGAGGTTTTAGTTGGGGGCTGAAGGTGATGGCTAGTGGCGTTCTGTTATTTTCTTTGTTGGGCCTGTCCTGTAGTAGGTGACTTCTGGGTACTCTTCTGGCTCTGTCAATCTGTTTCTTCACTTCAGCAGGTGGGTATTGTAATTGTAAGAATGCTTGATAGAGATCTTGTAGGTGTTTGTCTCTGTCTGAGGGGTTGGAGCAAATGCGGTTGAAGACCTCCCTAGTAAAACTGAATAGGGAAAATAGAAATTTACTAACAGAATTAGCCAACAAGCAATTCCAAGGCCATAAGAAGCAGATAAGTAAGAATGAGACAATTGTTTTAAGAAATAATGGAATATTTCATTGAAAGCAATGAAAATACAGCTGGACTGAATAAGAAGGAAGATAGTAAAGGCTAAAAAAATAGTTAAGGAGGTATGAATTATAGTTTTAAGAGGATATGTAAAAAATTATCAGTTAAGAGGATTTCAGATTAGTGTATATGAAAATATGCTTAGAATAGAATGTTTATAGATGAGGTAGTTTTCATAACCTGCACTTGTGTAATGTTATGAAACAAGGTATAAAGGATGTGTTTAATAAAGAGGGGTGGAGCAAGGTAGGATTTACACCAGCTCGGACCAGCATGGATCTGCTGATGACAAAAACAGCGTACCTGCACCCAGGACTTGGTAACTGATGATTATACTATCCTCATATCTGCTTTATTTAAGATTTATGCTTGATCAAGATGGTAATATATTGTCCTAAATGTTCTTACTAAAGCTTTAAATTGGTTAAGTTTAGTAACTGGTATGGACTGTGCTTTTTCACCCAACAGTATAGATGCACATCTCAAGCTAGATGTTAATTTTTCAGACCTACTTAAAAGTGCAATGGCTGGGATCAAACTAACGTATGAGTCTCACTAAATTATTTGATTGATCGATTTCTCTTTTCATAGCAGAAATGACACAAATATTGGTGACGGACACAATACAAAAAAAACAGGCAATAATATTTTCAGCACTGAGCCATGAATCTGCTGTAGAAAGTGTCTTCCACTACAATTCAAAGATGCATAGATTTTTAAAGCCAGAAATGACCACTGTGGTCATCTAGTTTCAGTGACACTCATACATTAGCGCTCCTCTTCAAATTCAGTGTTAAAAGCAGTTTTCATGAACAGACAAGCTGTTATTGTCTAATTTTGCAGCACAGAGTTCACAGGAGGATTTTGTACCCAGACTTGGAACACAGTTTAGAACAAGAAAGTACTGCACCAAGAGCTCTGCTATTTCAAAAGCTGTGTTCTTTCTGGATGCCAGCTGATCAGCTTTCCATATAATCCAAATTAAGAAACCAGTAAGAAAAGGAAAGACATAAGCAGGGGGCTGAACTTGATAACCTCTCAAAGTCCCTTCCAGTCTTAGGATTCTAAGATTCTATATGATATGATTCTATGAGCTGTTCTTACAGCACTTCACAAAGAGTCCAAGAGAACATTTTCTGAAAGTCGTCAGAAGAAAACCTCGTGTCCAATCCCACAAGGTGCAGATGCTGCACTCTTTCAACTCCCATTGATGCTGATGGGTGCTGAAGATGTTCAGAACCTGGCAGGTCTGGCCCAAAGATGTTGGCATGATTCACATAAAAATGACCTCCCAAAGATGACATACAGTATCACAGGAGCAATAATCATGTATAAAAAAGCATTTGCTCAACAGCTCCAAGCAAGGAGGAAAACAGCTTTTTTGATTGCCCATAGTTACAAAATGACCTTTATTTCTCACTTCAGCTTTCTAGAATTTGCCAAAATGCAAAGGCTTTATTTAACATACTTGTTTTCATTAGTTTCTCTAGTTTGGCTGTTGGAGGCATAAAGAGAATGTCTAAATTAGTCTAGTTTCTGTTTTGTTTAACTGCAAAATTATAGTAGCGTTAAGAATTTACCCTTTGAACCAAAAACGTTAAATATGCCCGATACAGAGAATTCTGTCAGCTTTGATTTTCTTTACATTACTGACAAAGAGTCTGATTCTGCAACATGTCCTCACAGTGGAGAGCACTCAAGTGAGTATCCCTATTCAGTTGAGTTCAGTGAGACTATCTATGCAAGTATTTACCACTTACTGTGAATAAGGGTTTCAGCTGGGGCTCTAACTGAGGGAATGTTCTCTAGTGGCTAAAGCAAGGGACTGGGAATCAGGTGTTCTGGGGTCCAGCCCCCTCTCTGTCACTGATTTGCTATGTGACCTCAGCAGCACGAGTATGTGACACCCTCTCCCATACTTGCATAAATGAGCAGTTATTCTCACAAATAGTCCCGTTCATTTCAGTGGGACTATCCCTGTAAAGCATGATACTATTCAAAATGAATAAGTGTAGCAGAATCTGATCCACAGGGCATTAGTTTTCCCATCTGCTAAACAGGATTACTAGTACCTACTTAGTTCTCAGGAGTGTTGTGCTCTTTAATTGATTGCCAATTGTAAAGTGCATAAAGGTGATAAAAACATGCAAAGTGGCATTCTTATAAATAGACTCTAGAGAGAAACAGAAGTTCAAAACACTATTTAATTTTGGATTCAGATCCTTCAAAGTGGACCTTTAAATCTGTGCTTTATTTTTAATCTGTACAGATGTGATTTTTTTTCATGCTTATGGAAATACTGTAGCATACTTGCATAGTGCTTAAAGTTTCTATGGCCCCTCATACTTCCCTGTCAGCTGTGTTTTGCTAAGAGGAGCAAACCCACAGAGAAAGCTCCAGTGGATCTAAGCCTTTTTTACCCACCTATCAACAGTATTTATGCAGAGATAACAATAATAATAATTGGAAGACAAAGCTGCTAAATAGGACGCCCCCTTTCTCGCTCTGTACACAACCTTGTCCCACTCTGTAAAGAAAACAACCATATAGTCAATAGGTCATGCAAAAAGTGGGCAGGAAAATTAGAGAAGTGTTTCCCTTCTCACAATATCTTGTGTCTATGTAAGGAGTTGGGTGGAGCCACTTCCTGCACTCCTTAAGATCCTTGACCCAGATTCACAAAGGAACTTAGACATTGGGCTTTAGGTGCTTAAGTCCCTTTGTGGATCTAGCCCTTTATGGATTTAGGCTGGGTAGGCAATAGCTCCTGAATCTGAAAGACTGAGGAATCCGCCACCTGGAACTCTATGGAGTCTTCAGGGAAAAGACAACTGGCTCTTGGAGCAGCTTGTTAGGTGGAGAAAGTCGAGACATTGCTATTCTTTAAAAAAAAATCCATATGGCTCTAATGAAGTCAAATCTTTATATATCTCTAATGACAGTGATGCAGTACTTTTGTATTAATAACAATATAAATACACATTCTTCCATTTTTATTTTAAAAACACAGGCAGTCACTTACCTTTTACCTTATGACTTTCCGCAGATGCTGTAAAATAAATGAATATATTCTAAGAAACAAACTTTACAATATGTACAAACAACATTTGTCCCTTGTTAAGACATTCTCGTTGTACCTGGTTAAAATCTACAGAAAGCAAGGCTAGCCAGTAAGGTATATATGGAGCTTGAAAAATTCCACTTATTTCAGCAAGCATGTACACTATGCATGGAAAACTCGCTTTAGAATGTGCATATAGCATACACACAGGAAAGGGAAGAAACAATTCAGACACTTCACAGACATCTCAATAAGTCTGGCACCTTAATTATTGGATAGTATTTCTTTCTAAAGCATCATTGATCAAAATATCATAATTTGATTTGGTTTTTGAAGGAGGGGGTGGGGGGGAAGCCCTGACACACTGTTTCTTCTTCCAGACTCAATTTATTTGAATCCCAGAGCCAGACTTCCTTCCTCCCTTGGAGGAAAAAAAAGTGAGGAAGCTGAAATCAAAATCTAACATTCAAAAGAATAATGGTGTCCTGCTTAGCTACACGTGATTGGCTCTCAAGTACAACAGAATGACTAGGTTATCATGCTCCATAGCCATTCTAATACATTTGAGTAAGCTGGCAAATCTGTTCTCTTCTAGCACAGTGCAGTTCCCATCCCTTCCCCTAATGGTGACTTGAATTCATTTAGGTTTAAGTTTAAATTAAGGAAATGAGTCTAACATAGACTTTTACAGGTTTTACCAGGTACTTTTAGAGGTACTACAGGTATTTCCTTCTTCGATGGTTTGGCTGGAACAAATGAGAAAAGGTTGGTTATTACAATGTGGGAGTTGCCACTAAAACATTCAGTAGCTCAGATGAAAAATAAGACTAAAAAATGGGAGCCATTTACCAGTTTCCACCAGCTTTTCCTTCTTGGGTGATTCTGAAAATTAAAAAAGAAAAATATTTTGGCTCTACTTTTGGTACTGCTGTTACATTTACTCCTCCTAAAAAGTATTTTTCATGCAGTGACTAATGGAGTCAGATTAAATGCTAATACCGGATAGCTAAAAGATAATTCCACAGTCATATTGTTAGGTAATGAAAGGAAATGTTAACAGCAATTAAAGAGAAAACATGTTTAGACTTACTCTGTGTTATTTGATAATCAAAGACGTGGTTCCCAACCTTTTCCACCCTGAGATTTTCCCAGAACACCACTCCCACAACCTCCTCTTCAGGACCACTTATAGCCACTTCGCAAAGATTCAAGGCCATGGGGCATAACCAACCAGGGAGAGGGGAAAGAGATGGAAATGTCTATTTGAAATGGTACATTCCATATTATCATTGACTAAAATTCGTAACAAATAAGAAAAGGGATGAGTTAATGCTGCTTGCAAATAAAGTAAATATATTATCACAAGACATAAGCAAACCAAACTCTCTCTTTTTTCTTTTCTTTCTTTCTTTCTTTCTTTCTTTCTTTCTTTTTTTTTTTTTTTTTTGTATGTGGGGCTGGAGGGGAGGAAGGAAAAAGGAAGAATGGAGACTGGAAGACAGTTACTTTGGCTGATTTAACCAGTCATCTCAGTAACATCTGCAACATTGCAGCACACTCATGTTTTATGTAGCATAAGTGCTGCTCCAGAGTTCATTTATATATATTATATATAAACACATTTTGTAAAACTTTTTTTCCCCACCTATGCTTGCTTCTCTGAAACTGAAGGATATCTAATTATGGTTTCTTTGACTCCAGGGGCATCTGACTGCTTCCTGTTTTCTCACAGTCTCCCAACCCTTAGACAAGGGAAACAGGGGCAGAAGTTGTGTGACACTACCAACTTTCACTTTAAGCATTTTTGTGAGACCTAAAATTTCATTTTCATTAAGCAAATTCAACAAGGTTCTTCCAGAAACATGAAATCCAGTTTACAAATATCTGCAACTTTCCACAGGGAAGTTTTTATTCAATAATTAACAAAATTAGTTAGGAAGTTTGGATCAGAATCTGAATTTATGGCTGACTCACTTCTACTGTACTGTTATAATGTGGTACACCAAAACCTTAGATCCCAACAACCACAAGCTTTGAGAAATTTCAGATCTGGATCTTGCCTTTATGACTCATGCCACTTTTACTAATTTAGAAGAATTTTCTTCTATTAATTAATGGTCAATCTGACAGAACAGAGGATTTTGTCCTATTTTACAATATACATGTTAGACATTTGTTATAGCACTTGTAAGATTTTTAACAGTGAGAGTTGTGCATGTATTCATAAGAATTTATTAATTTATCAACCAGGCCAAAATACCTTTATCCAGGACACAGCCTGTGGCTGAGAACAAATAAATATTCTATTATATGTGCAATTGAGATTTTTTTCAAGATTCGCTCAATTCTGAAATTTCACCATATTCTACACACACTGAAGTTTTCACTAAAACATTTTTTGCCTTTGTGAAAGCCAGTAAAATATTTATTAATTGTTCATGAAACACCTACATGCATTTTTTTGTTTTGCTGGTAGTGATGCGCTCACTGGGCAGATGTGGGACAGAAGAGAATCTCTGAGGTTATTTTTTATGCTGCTCCATTCCCTAATCTGCTAGTGGTGCTGCAAAACATTGAAGCTGGCATAGTCCTGCAACGTGCCTTAGATCTTCACCAGCAGCAAGGTAATTCTGAAACCGTGACCTTCTCTCACCTGCTAGCCTTGGAACAGTCACATGTTTCCATTTTTATTCTTTGTCGTTCTCTCGTGACATGTATGCCTTTCATTTAATTCAGATAAAGTATTCTAATCTTAAAGCAGTAGTGTGAATAAGTGAAATTCATGCCAAACCAGTGAGAAAGTTGAATTTCTATGAAATTGCCTATCATCTCCACTGTGTTCACTGTTCTATAGTATAAATTATACGATAATCCATGTCATTAGGCTATATTCATTACAGTTAAGGGGAAACCGTTTTCTGTACTAGAATACTCAATTTCTGATACAAGGATTTTAATAAATCCTATGTTACAGTCAGTAAAACACAGAACTGTCAATCTTGTGCAGTCAAACACTGCAAATCCTTAGGTTGGGGAAGCTAATAGTGTTGAATCTTTTTGTTTGTTTGCCTGCAATTTTCCTGTTGGCTTGTTCAAGTTATAGAGAGGTTCATTACAAGTATTTGTTACCCCATATTTCTTCAATTTCTAAAGATCATGAATATAGGATGCTGATTCCTTTGTTCTCTGAAATAAGAAACTCGGGGGAGGGGGGGAACCGCCTCCCCTACTAAGGGTTTGGCACCAGTTTTATAGCTCCCTGTTTGTAAATGAAAGCTGACGTTCATTCATAGCAATTTCTCTTCAGAATGATCGCTGAAAAGAGATGGAGAAGGAAGAATGCATTTTTGCATATCCTCAGACTGGAAACACATGCCTATGATTGGCAATCTCCAGAATTCATTAATCTGAAGAGATTTCCTGCCATGCCTCAAATAATTGCGGCACATATTCTTCAGAGGAATACAGCTTTCTTTCAAGGTCCTTTGGCAAGCTTACACAACTCCTGCTTTGCCTGGCCTTCAGGAAATGATGGCCACACATCTGGTCTGGTCTACATCATAGAATCAAAGAATATTAGGGTTGGAAGAGACCTTGTGAGGTCATCTAGTCCAATCCCCTGCTCAAAGCTGCTGCCCTGCTCGTCTCTGTAAGGTTTACCAGGATGACTGGATTTGAATCTCTCAATGAAATGGAAACCCTCCCCCCGACCCACACTGCCCCAAGAAAAAAGCTAATACTGATCCATCTGATATCAGAAACATGAATGCTTCTGCTCAAAAAAAAAAAAAAAAGGCCGTCTTAAATCTACAGAAGATCTGGTAATCTGGGCACCTTCAACTTCTCTGAGGTCTCATCAGTTCTTGAGTGGACAAGGTCAGTTACCTCAAATGGCAGGCCAAGTACCTATGCCTTCTGATTCTTCCCATATCACTCTATGTCAACTCTAAGACAGAATTTTGTAAGGAAAAGTGTCCATTTGCCAAAGAATGGGATTCTGCAAAATCCATGTCCTAACAGGCACTTGAGGAGCATTTTGCAACCTCTAGATGAGGGATTCTCAAACCGGGGGTTGTTTTATTTTTGAATGCAGTTATTTTTTGTACATAATTCTACATTTGTAAGTTCAATTTTCATGATAAAGAGATTGCACTACAGTACTTGTATTAGGTGAATTGAAAAATACGATTTCTCTCATTTTTTACAGTGCAAATATTTGTAATAAAAATAAATATAAAGTGACCACTATACACTTTGTATTCTGTGTTGTTATTGAAATCAATATATTTGAAAATGTAGAAAACATCCAAAAATATTTAAATAAATGGTACTCTATTATTGTTTAACAATGCGATTAATTGTGATTAATTTTTTAAATTGCTTGACAGCCCTAATATATATACATTCTGCCCTACAGCCAGTATATGTATATATATATCGCCACTAGATGGGACAGAACACTAAACCCAGAAGATGTGTGTGTTATACTTGCCCCCTCTTACTCTTAGAAGAACAATGCTCCCTCACTGATCCGGCATAGGCCTAAAGCCTCCAGACCAGAAATAGCAACACCAGACTACTCCCCAAAAGGAACTTTCTGCTTCCTAATTTCTCACCAATTTCCATAGGTCTGAAGCCTATGCAGAGGTTTGGAAAACAAGGAGAAATGGCTCTAGAGAAAACTCTGTTAATTCTTCAGGTCTGATAGGGGAACAACATGGGGTCACAGCTAAGGAACTACCCATTGACAGATCCTTCCCTAAAGCCAGTCAGGGTCATAAACTTAGTGTTGAAGAAGATGTCAATTCTTAATGCACAACAAAGCAATCAGCCATCTAGGACATAAGCAAATCTCATCACCCTCAAGACCTTACAATTTAAACAAACCATCTATGCTGAGGCACAACTGGGGATAAAAATCTGCTATAACTCCTTCACAGACCAGAGGATCATTGACCAGAAGTAGATCTCTCCTGATGTTTATGCTTCCCCTTCATTTTCTTTTTAGGAGGAGCTGCAGAGGGATTTCTGGTGTATTTCCAGCCCTTTGAGGATCTGACTTAGAGCTCTTCAGATGCAATCATTTCCATTGCTGCCTTGACGGGCTTGGGGACAATTTATTGGATTTAGAAAAATCTCCCAGCACTGTATCCACCTGTTTTGAACCCACAATGTCTTCTGGAACACAGCTTTGCTTAAGTCCATGTGGCTTATAAAACCTTTCATACAGGATTTATTACAAGGAAGGCTTAGATTCTACACAATCTTTCAGGTGATGGTGTAAACACTGCACAAGCAGCATACCTCTTTTACACTTGAGTAGTGTCCCCACGCACTTTAAACACTGATCTGAAATAGAGATTTCTGTGGGACAAGGAAGTCCCTCTTAAATCCTGGTTTCTGCACATCATCTGCTATGTGATGACTCGATGAGCAGATTAACTATCAATTCTACAGGAAAAACAATTAATCGTAAAAACTAATGATCAAAGCTGCTTCAGAAATAAATACATTTGAAAATTAACAAATGTAACAAGAAACCTAGCATTAAACCCTCACAGGGGAGGGCTTACCACTCAGGCCAGCAGAAAGAGAAGGAATGAAGAACAGTAAGGATTTGAGTAGGGATCGGCAACCTTTGGCATTTGGCCCATCAGGGAAATCCTCTGGTTTGTTTACCTGCAGCATCCAAAGGTTCGGTCGATCGCAGCTCCCACTGGCCACAGTTCGCCATTCCAGGCCAATGGGGGCTGTGGGAAGTGGCGCGGGCCAAGGGATGTGTTGACCGCTGCTTCCCGCGGCCCTCATTGGCCCGGCACAGTGAACTGTGGCCAGAGGGAACTCGATCGGCTGACCCTGCGGACGCTGCAGGTAAACAAACC